GAAATCAAGCATTTGGGTTTGTTCTCCACTTAAATGAAGCGAAAATGTGTCCATAGATCACGTCTCCTCTTTCTCCCGAGCCCCAGAGTAGGCTACTCTGTGCCGCCCGCTCCAGGTTTGAAAGTGGGTGTGTGGGAGCTGACGAGGAGGAGACGAGACAGGATTTGAAAAAAACATAAAATAATAATATATATTTTTCGTCTCGTCTTTGTTCGTGAACTAAAATGTCCATAGATTTTAGTCCAGTCTTTATTTACCGAACTGCATTTTCGTCTCGTCTTTATTAGTCCACGAAAATTATTTCTGATTTAGTCCCAGTTATTGTTTATTAGTGGGGATTTTCGTCTCGTCTCGTCTAGTTTTCGTTAGGTGAAAAATGTGCGTTGACGAAAATATTTTCGTTTAGTTTTCGTTAACGAAATTAACACTAGTCCTCACAAGCACAGTATAACAGGAATGTGTGTGTGGCGCGCAAAGTTAGAGAGGTTGTTTTAAGCGACGAGGTGGATTCGTCACAGTCACAATAACCATGACATGAAATGTTCATATCCTACAACAGGGATGTTCTTCTGGCAAACGGGTAGATAAATAAGGATCTCACCGAATTTGGTGGAAGCTGCATCTCGTTCGTTACATTCGCCATCTTCCCTCTAACTGTCTGCACCTGCGCTTGGGTTCAGACAGAAGCCTGTTAAAGCGCAGTATTTTCAGCGCCCCAAGACCATAAAGTTCCGAGACGCTGATTGGCCATTAAATTCACCTAGCAATAGTACATGATTGACAGATTCTCTGCAAATGTGGGGCTGTCTGATCAGCGCCCCCAGAACAGAGACGGTAGGAGTCTGTCTGTGGAAATCCACAAATGAATGACAGTAGATAGGGAAATGTAGTTTATATAATTTGTTTTGCTTATAGGTACACACTCTAGAGAGTAAAACTGACATTTATGAGTTAATTTCTAAAAATATATTTTACGTTTCTCTCTTCTTATCAGGGAGGGCGGTGCCCCAGCGCCCCCTATGGGCCGGCCGCCACTGATTTGAGTGTTGAATTAGCTTAGCTTAACTCACTATAGGGGTTACCATGTAACACTATTTAGTGTTATTTTGTACAATAAATACTGCTTTTTCTAAAACTAAACGTTCATAAATGTCCTGTACTTATATAGCGCCTTTATTCAAGTCAGGAGACTAGACCAAAGGACTTTACACTACATTCATTCACCCATTGACGCACACACTCAAACACTGATGGTGGCAAGCTACATTGTAGCAGTGCTCCTCTGGACTGTGTGCAGAAGTGTGCAGTGCACATTTACATACATGAAATACACTCATCTCACTGTTCTACTAGTTTTAATTAGGTCGTCTTATACAAAACGGGGAAGAAAGACAAGCAAATAATACATTTATAATTTGTAATAGTGTATGTGTGTGTGCATGTATGCACACACACATACACTATCCAGTGATTGAATACCTTTAATATTATAACTTACACATGTAGTGTTAATTCACATACATACATATATATATATATATATATATATATATATATATATATATATATATATATATATATATATATATATACATATATATATATATAAATATAAATAAATATGTATATATATATATATATATATATATACATATATATATATATATAAATATAAATAAATATGTATATATATATATATATATGTATATATATATATATAAATAAATATATATATATATATATATATATATATATATATATATATATATATATATATATATATATATATATATATATATACATACTGTAAAATTACCTGTGAAACGTCTTCCCAGTACAAAGATGGCGGCAGGTGGCTTCACTTTTTTTGGGCTATCAGCAATCCAATGAATAAATAGTGATCATTGGCAAACAATCGAAGCGTTATGTATTTAGGAGGGGTTTTGTGGATACTCACAAGCGACCGGCATGCAGCTCAACTCAGACACCAAGACATCAAGTATGAATGGGAACTACAAGAACGACTAGAAGGGTGCTGCAGTTCTGTGTTCTGGCTACAAGTGGCAGTATCATTAGAATACTCTGTTATGTCTCTTTAAAATAAAGTCATGCAATAATGTGCTGTTAAGCCTCAGTTAACCAGGAACCAAATATAAGCTATCAATTTACAACCAGGACAAGATCAAATTAGAATACAACAGCAGGTTAAAGGAAAGTCCAGCAGGCAGATTCAAATGAAGTCCCAAGTTTAGTTTAGTTATGAAGTCCTAGTGGAAAGAATGAAGGAGGGAAGGATCTGCAAAATGCATTTTTTTTTTCAACTAGGATGCAGCATCTTTTACTGAAGAAGCTCCCAGTTTCCTCTGCAGCCTCATACATGAGCTAAAATACACTGTCCAAGGGTGATACTAACTCTGTCCAGATATCATCAGTGTGGAAGATCCTGGAACAGAGCTGAGCTCGTTTCATCTCTGCCTCTCAGCTGTAGATAAGCTGCTGCTAGAACAGGATCAGAACAAACTAGAAGATGGATGAAGCAACCATAGAGCCAAAGGTCATCAGGGGGGCCTCCTGTATCAGCCTCCTTAACCTGTAAAAAGCATCAATGTTGTTACTGCACCTTATTGCTCAGGTAAACAACCACAGACTTTAAAGACCTTTGACGTAGACAGCTTTTATTGTCGTTTTTGTATGCATAGTGTGTATAACAGAGTGTACATTTTATTTTCTACAGCTTACATGACATTTCCATTTAGTTTGGTTTTGTCAGTGTGATGCAGAGTCTGTGACATGATTGAGAGTTTTCTTAACAGTTTAGCAGTCTGATGGCGTTAGAAAAGAAGGTGTTACAGAATCGGCTAGACCTGCATCCAATACTTCGAAGTCTCTTCCCAGAGGGCAGCAGGGAGGACAGTCCATGGTGGGGGTGAGAGGGGTTATTGATGATGTTACGGGTTCAGGACACGCAGCGCTGGGATGAAATGTCTTTTATGGAGGGAAGAGGAGCCTCCTCACATTCTTCCAGTCTGAGGCGCTGCAGCCTCCACAGCACACAGTGAGACAGCTGGTCAGAACGCTCTCTATGGTGCTTCTGTAGAAGGTGGTGAGGATGGGTGGGGGCAGGTAGGCTCTCCTCATCCTCCGCAGGAAGTAAAAGCGCTTCTGTGCCCTTTTGATCAGTGAGGTGGTGTTTACAGTCCAGGTGAGGGTGTCTGTGATGTGCACCCCCAGGAATTTGGTGCTGTTGACCACCTCTACAGCTGAGCTGTTGATGAACATTGGAGGGTGGTTAGGCCGGTTCTTCCTGAAGTCTAAGATGATCTCCTTGGTCTTCTCAAAGGTTCAGGATCAGGCTGTTATCTCTGCACCAGTCCACCAGCTGCTCCACCTCCTCTCTGTAGTCCTGGTCGTTGTCGTCCCTGATGAGGCCCACCACCGTGGTGTCGTCTGCAAACTTCACTATGTGATTGGTGGTGAACCTTGGGGACGCAGTCATGTGTCATCAGGGTGAACAGCAGGGGGCTCAGGACGCAGCCCTGAGGGGAGCCTATGCTTAGGGTGATGACATCAGAGGTGTTCTGTCCGACCCGGATTGACTGAGGTCTGCTGGTGAGGAGGTCTAGCAGCCAATTGCAGAGGGGGGTATTGAAGCCCAGCTGTTCCAGTTTTCCTATTAGATGCTGTGGGATTATGGTGTTGAAAGCTGAACTGCATTCCCAAAGGTAAGGTCACACATCCAAATCCGTCTGATACCATTTGTTAGTGTCATGATCTGGCCTGTTTGCTCTCCCTTAATTAATCATTCCTTTCACCTGTCGTTTTTCCCTCCCTTCCTCAATTATAATTTATTCCTCTCACCTGTTTCCTCTAGTTTCGATTCAGTTCAGCCTGAGCATTCAGGGCCAGATCATTGCTTGTCTTTCTGTCAGTCTTTCTGTTCAGTTTTATTTTATGGTTCATGTCCTGGATCCTGGCAGCCAGTGGAAAGAGGGTTTTTGTGTTTTGTGTTTTTGTGCCTGATCTTGATCCTGTCTCTGTCTGTTCCTGTCTGTTCTGGATCCCTGACCAGGATCAGCTTCCAGCATAACCTCTGGGACTGCAGCAATTGGGGACATTCTTGGTCTGGACTGCTAAACCAGAGTGTCGGAGATTGGGCGTTTTGTTTTGTTTTATTTAATAAACGTTTGAACTTTCCTACTGACTGTCTCTCCTTGAATACTGGGTCCATCTGTCCTCGGTTCTTGACAGTTAGATTGTTAAAGATTTTGATTTGTGCCTTCACCTTTAAGGAAAGGTAGATCCTGACCTTTCATTCAGCCCCTCCAACCAATAACTGTTGCAGACACCACCCAGAACACCTCGCTTAATGTCCACATTGATTTGGCTGCTAACAGCTGTAAAATAAAACCATCCACCATTAAATGATTTGATCTAAAAAGTGATGGCATGTTGAAAACACCTTTTTTATATTGAGTGAAGGTAAAAAAAAACTCTGTGGGTAACAATTAATCACACATTTTTTAATGGAATGATAAGTTCAGTATCGGTTATTGCTTCTTATTTCATGAGTTGGTAACCATTGATATCTCTGAGTATATAGCCAAAGGAAAAGAGATGATTAGTTAATAATTATTCTTAGTTAATTCCCTCTTAGTTCCTTTTTTATATTTGGTAGCATTTGTTGAATACACTGTTTTCTATATTATGATTTGTCCTATTGAAATTGTGACCTAAATTACTATCTTAAGCATATATAGTACTTCTATGTTCACATTTTGCTTGTACTACCTGCAGCAACTATAGAGATATGGGGTTGTTTTAGGCACATAAATGTTAACGTATCTGCTTCTTCCCTTCTGGGTGAGTAAATCACCTGGAAAACAAAGAGGTAAACGTTGCTCAAAGGGAAATAGATGCAGCATGCAGATACAAAGAACTGATTTCCCTACAGAGGCGGAGAGACTGCGGGCTGCATACACAGAGAAAGCACAAGAGAAGGAGAGACACTCAGGAAGTTGACAGGGGAAGTTTAGTGGTTTTTTTGCGTCATCATTTTATGCTGCTTCTTGTGTGCCGTTGCAGAGTGAAGGTAGGAACACTTGTTTTCGCTTTATAAGTTGTTTAGTTTCTCTTGTTTTTGTTCATTTCCAACTCTTCCTACAAAAGGCAGATGTGGATAGGGATGGGGTGAGGGATGGGAGGGAGGCAGCAGGTGTCAGGATGGTGAAGAAGGTGGGGGTTGAGTTTGTATGTCTGTCTCAGTTTGTATTTTCAAGCTCGACTTCCGCTGCAGTGAGATCGGGCCCTGCAATGGCCGTGACATGTGCTCAGGAAGGGCGAAAAGCACCGGCTGTGACCCCAGCAGCCGGGCCCAAGCTGAGAGTGGAGACTTTATTTGGTCCAACAGCTCAAGGGCTCTTATAAAGTGAGACAGGAGGAATCATTCAGAGGCTCATTTCAATGAATAGCAGAAGTACAGGGACAAGGGTGTGGCCTTTGACTCGTAAAAAATAAATTGAGTTCATTGGGGGGAAGTGGAAAGCCACATTTGCACACTAGGGATTGAGTGCAGCTTGTTTGATTTTGCATGGATATTTATCTGCAATGTGGAGAAATATTACGCACTAAAAAAATAGTTATTTCTGCTTTTGCAGGCTGGAAGACTAAAAGTTTGTCCTAAGACTCCAGCTTTACAATGCGATACAGCTCACCAGGGTGGCAAAGTTCACAGAGGCAGCAGCATCAGCAGCAGCAGTGCAACAGAATCCCTGAAATGCAAAGCTCCTCCACAAAGTCACTGTCACACTAAGAGGAGTCGGCGAGCACATCCAACCGCAGGCAGCCGGCAGAGTGAGCAGGCAGAGGAGCGCCGGCCGTTCTGAATGTGTGGGGGAAACTGAAGGCAGGAAGAGATGCGGAGAGTTCGAAGAAAAGGGGGCAACAAAGAGAAGGTGTTTGGATGTGATCTGCTGGAGCATCTCACCACCTCCAGTCAGGAGAGTAAGTGGAAAATCATAAACCCAGAAAAATGTAACATTGCTCTTATTCATCTCAGTTTTTTTTTTTATTTCCCACATGAAAAAAACCTCAAACAGACAGCCATGAACCTGAGTTAAAGGTTACATTCAGCCAATACTTACTAAGTGTCTGCCTTAACTTCTCTGTAACCTAATACGGCTATATTCTTTCATAATGATATTTCTATGTAATTAAAAAAGACTTGTTTCTCCTTTCTAAAGGTCTAAATTCAACCTTATCATTAATAAAACACAAAGCTTCAACCAAACCTGGTTTAAAAAACTAGCTTTTTGATGCAACACTGACTAAGATTGTTGGTTACATCTAAGATTTCTGAGATTCATCACCAAACCATCATTTTCAGCCAGTATAAAAGACTTTAATATAATGTAAATGTAAATCCCTTTATTGTCCCATAATGGGGAATTCACTCTCTGCATTTAACCCATCCCCTTGGGGAGCAGTGGGCTGCCATTGTGTGGCGCTCGGGGTGCAGTGTGGGGTGAAGGGTTTTGCTCAGGAACCCGGAGTGCAGGCTGTGGGGGTCGAACCGGGTACTTGTAACTTTACAACCAACTTGCAGGGTTCCACTGCAAATTTGCAGCTACAACTTGAAGTTGTTTTAATGAGATATGATAGGAATCTTCACCAGCATATTGAGATATGATATTACAAACCAAAAGGTATTTGTGCAGAACCCCAGTCGGCCTCGGCAGATGGCCGCTCACACTGAGCCTAGTTCTGCTGGAGGTTTCTTCCTGTTAAAAGGGAGTTTTTCCTCTCCACTGTCGCTACAAGCATGCTTAGTGTGAGGGATTGTATTGGAGTCGATGAGTCGATGCAATCAACTGGTTTTCCTTAGATAGAAAACTTTGTATCAATTTGACTGTATGATCTGGTTAAACTGTAAAGTGCCTTGAGATGAAATGTGTTGTGAATTTGGCGCTATATAAATAAACTGAATTGAAATTGAATTGAACTGTGGGATGGACAGAGAATTACAGATTAATTTTAATATATTTGATTGTAGATTTTATTTCCCCCAGATATATAGAAACCCAGTGCATATTATTAATCCTCAGATGAGATCTGACATCTGAATCAAACCCTCCTGTAGGTAATTTAATCTCAGCATAATCACTGCTGCTTTGCAAAGGCATCAGATGTTAATGGAGAACATTATTGAACAAACAACATCATGGAGACCCAGAAACACAGCAGACAGGTCTTAGACTTCCAGCATTAAATGATTTGATCTAAAATGTGACTGTCATGTTGAAAACACCTTTTTTATATTGGGTGAAGGTAAAAAAACTGAATGGGTGACAATCACACATTTTTTTATGGAATTATAGGTTCAGTATCTGATAACTAGGTTATTAGTTACAATCTTATTTCATGAGTTGGTAACCATTGATATCTCAGAGTATATAGCCAAAGGAAAAGAGACAATTAGTTAATAGTTAGTTAATTCCATCTCAGTTCCTTTTTTATATTTGGTAGCATTTGTTCTTTATGATGATTTTTCCTATTGAAATTGTGACCTAAATCTCTATCTTAACCATATATAGCACTTTTATGTTCACATTTTGCTTTTACTATCTGCAATAGGTTTTTAAAACTTATAAAAAGTGGAAATATTAAAGAGATATGGGGTTGTTTTAGTCACATAAATGTTAACGTATCTGCTTCTTCCCCTCTGGGTGAGTAAATCACATGGAAAACAAAGAGGTAAAAGTTGCTCACAAAGGGAAATAGATGCAGCATGCATTTTGAGCAATATTCCAAACCTTTAATATCTCAACAGTATGGTTCATGTTCTGCAACTGAAAAGGTATCACACCTGCAAATCTACCAATATATAGTCATTGCCTAAACCCACAGGCTGGGCTATAAACCAGAAACCTGCTACTTTGGAGCAGAGATCAGCAGCTAAGGCAGAGCATCAATTGAGTCCCATTTTGGTGGAGCTTCTGTTCAGATGGGACCAAAATATAACTTTTGGGTTAAGCAAGAACTTTGTGTGAAAGTGTATCATACTATTCCAGTCATGCAGATCCCATAAACCTACTTTACCCTATCATTCATGACAACCCATTCACATTTGTAAATATACACAACTTAATATCTTAAAATGCACATTGGTGGATTACTTTGGGTTAAGCCTAAAGACAAATCAACATGTGATGTGGCGGAGCTAGAATCGAACTCTCAACCTTTTATCCACCAAAGATCTGCTCTTCTAAAGCTGATTGAATGTTTCAGTACAGGCACACCATTCCCACAGTAAAGCATGGGGGAAGTTGCATCATGGGGATGGGGAAGCTGATCAGAGATTATAGGAAGATAAAAACAAAGCTGTTGGAGTCTGAATGAGTCCTGACTGGAGAACACCTCTAAGTGACAGTAGAGTGGTGGAATGGCCTAGTCAAAGTATAGGCTTAACTCCAATTTAGTGTTTGTTGCAAAAATTTAGAAGACTGCAATGGACACAACTTTGGGTCTCTAGATCAGGGATCTGCAAAAGGTTGTGTAATAAGTACAGCTGCATTTATTACACAACCTTTTAGTAAAACATGACTTATTATTACCTTTTAAAGATTTGCTAAAGGAAATCTGTTGCTCTTTCAAAGTGTCAATGGTGTTTGTTTTGCATTTTTAGTTTTTAAAATAAGGAAAACATGAAAAGTTTTTAAAAAAATGAATCAGGCATTTACAAAAAAAGACATAATTACCAATTAATGACAAAAAAAATAGGTCTAAAATCATTAAAGCTTCTAAGACTGCTATTTGTCATTATACGACATCAGTTGGTTGTTAATATTACTTTTACTTACTATTCAGAGCCATTTATGGGGTTCAAAGAGCCACTTCTTGCTCTGGAGCAGCAGGTTGCAGACCCCTGCTCCAGATGTTCCAAACTGGTGAAGCTATCCAACAAAAGGCTTATGATAAGTCTCACTCATATCAGCCATGAAATGGGGACCCTACAGGCATTCATGTAGGGGTCTGAATGTAAATACAAACTATGTTTCTGTTGATTTTCTTTATGGCTAAGCCAGGCATCCCCAAGGTCGGTCCTGGAGGGCCGCTGTCCTGCAGGTTTTAGAGGTTTCCCTGCTCCAGCACAGCTGATTTCCATTGATAGCTGATTAACAGGCTTTTGCTGAACTGCAATCATCAGAATCAGCTGTGCTAAAGAGGAAAAACCTCTAAAACCTGCAGGACAGCGGGCCTCCAGGACCGACTTTGGTCATGCCTGGGCTACAGTAAGCAATCATTTTGTGTCCACCCAAAAGAAATGGGACAAAATGGAAATAATTGACATGGTTTGACTGTTATAAAGTAAAGGTGATATTAAGAAGAACGTTCCACAATGAGGATGTAGTGATTTTCATTCTGTCGCAGAGAAGAGCTTTGATTCATCGTCATATAGGTATAGATGTCAGAATGTTTTAAGACGACAACACAATATGGCATCACCGTCTTCTGGTCTGCACAGCAGTTTGAGTGTAAAATAAATATAATGAACAGCGTTTTTCCTATAAGATATAGAAGAACTGAAAAACCTATAAAACACGCAACTGGAGTCTGCATGTGGTGCAGAAATGTCAGAGCACCGTTACTGGGGTTTCATCGCAGATTGAAGAAGTCAAATTTATGTGGTTATGTTTTGTTTCACTCTGTTGCTTAGCAGCTGATATTGTGGTTATTACAGAGGTCTGTCATAACACAAAATCACTTTGTTTAGTTAAGAATCTGGAAGATATTCCTTAGGCATGAATTTCTTATTAGGACATAGCTTACTCCAGTCCATTGGAGTGTACATATGTTCCCTTTATAAAGGTTTCTGAGCTGTTATTGAGCTAATGTAAGGTACACACCATGGTTAAAGGTCTTTTATCTCTGCATCTGCAGAAACTTAGTAATCTCTGCCAACCAATTACCCTGACATCCACTGACCTAGTTTTATGATATTAAATGTCGCATCACTTTGCTTTTAGGTTTATTTCATTTTCAATCACTTCCCCTTTGGTATAACCTCAGTCTACAATTGTAGTTTAATAACTAGAAAATTTCTAAAGAAATTTTGAGGGGGGCCACCTACTGCCCGTCTGGGTAACTGGGCCAATACGGCCCTGGCAAGTGACGTCGGGGCTCCCCAGACCAACTGCTTACGCCTTTGAGGGCTGCTGAGGGAAGGAAAGAGGGCTAGGTCATGGGCAAAGAGAGCTGTGTGCCACTTGTGCTGAAATCTGGGAAATAGACGTGCACAGCATATGATGCACAAGGGTAATATGGGTTGTCCATATTGAACCGCAGTGGGCAAAGCGCAGTTGGTTGGCTCTGCCCGCCTGCTAGGAGCCCTTGCAGCGATGAAAAAAATCACCAATGGCGGGCTCCGCCCGCCTGCTAAGAGCCATTGCAGTGATGAAATCACCATTGGCGGGCTTCGCCCGCCTTCTAAGAGCCATTGCAGTGATGAAATCACCAATGGCGGGCTCCGCCCGCATGCTCAGAGCCATTGCAATGATGAAATTACAAATGGCTATGAGCAATATGCCAGAATGTATGAGTGTGTATAAGGAAGAGGCTTTTATTCTGTAGAGTCCCTGTAGTGTTATTTGGAAAGTCTATCATGGATGTGTATCAAAAGATGGGTCATGCCCAGCAGTGATGTAGAATCCATTTCCAAATGTTAAATCACTGGTTTTCCATGTTATTAGGTGAATAGCTGCTGTATTACAGAGTAAATGGGAGACTTTTATTGTGAAATTTGCTCTGGGGTGTGTTTTGAAAAGGTCACTAGAGTCTAATAAAAACAACCTGGAAGAGTTTGGGTCATAATGTTGAGCCATTTGCATCAATTATTGCATTAGTATAATCTAGAGGCTTTTATTTTGTAGGGTCCCTGGAGTCTTATTTTGAAAGTCCAACAGAGTTGTGTTTAGAGAAAATGTTCAGACCCAGCAATGATAGTTGATGACTTTCCAATCGTTAAATCACTCTTTTTTCCATGTTATTAGGGCAGTGATGAAGATGAAATGGGAGGCTTTTATTTTGAAATTTGCCATAGGGTGTGTTTTAAACAGTCTCCTAGAGTCTATTCTCTAAAATGGGGTTGAGTTTGGGTCATAATGTTGAGCCATATAGGGCAATAAATATATGTAAAAAATATAGAGGCTTTTATTTTGTAGGGTCCCTGGAGTCTTATTTTGAAAGTCTATCAGTGTTGAGTGGCAAGGGAAGTGTCATGGACAGCAGTCATATAGTATCAATTTCCCAATGTTAAATCAGTGCTTTCACCCTCCATTAGATTAATATGTGCTGTTTAAAACAGCAGAGGTAAAATCTGTTTGAAGCACGGTTACCTTGACAACGCTTAACGAGCCTGTCAGTGACAGAGAGAAAAGCGCAGCACTATCGTCCCTTCGCTCTCAGGCTTTTTTGAATGGGAGGAACAGCTCCGAACAAACGACTGCTTAGCAAAAACCGTATGAGTTATTCAAAAAATTTCTTCACCATGAGCATCAGCAATCCTTCGACTCCAACTATGCCAACTTTGGTGTATGTGTGTCTTTCAGAACAATATTTATGACGAGTTGAAAACACATAGTGATGTTCGTTTTTCTCCCCTCTGCTGTTCCAAAACCAATGAAAAACGGCTGATTTTCATCGACACTAGGTCGGTCTGGAGCGTTTTTAAGGAAAAGTATTAATCCTACCGTAATTCCGAAGACATTGTGTGAGTCCAGAGGTTTCAGTCTACAAACTGTATAGTTTTAAAGTATATATAAAAACGTTCTTCCAGATGTTTCTTTTTTTTTTTTGGTAGAGCGCATTAAAAATTGGCTTTGTTCCTAGCATGGAATAGGCTGTCAAAGTGCCTTTTTTTACTTTTTGATGTGAGCTTGTTGATTTTTTCTGTAGTTGTTGTAAAAGAAGCATCTCATTGCTGCCCCAAGTGGTCAAAGAGTGGCTAATATAGTTGACCTTTTCTATTGATACAAATGGTACACGAGTTACAGGCTTTTATTATCATAGCCTGGCGTTGGTGTATAGATGCTGTTTCCTCAGATACACGTTTCTGTAGCAAGTTATCCTGTAGATGAAGCAACCTGGATATATATACAGGAGATTAGAGAAGCCGTGCAGTACTAAATGGATAGATATGAGCTGCAGCACATGTGGAAGGCTAATGCTGCCTAGTACTAACGCTGCCTACATGTGAATGAAGTGGAGCGCCGTGCAATTCCCGCTCTCCACTCAGGGGGATGTTCGCTCATTCGCTCCGCCGCTCTAAGATGCGCCAGAAAATCACCTTAATTTTCCTGCCGCTTCGGCGAAATCGCTCGACGCTCGCTCAGATTTTGAGGAGAAGGCATTTTCTGACATTTTACCTTCATGTAATGATGCCAGGGCCCTGGGACAAACCGCGTTTGATTTAATGATGTGACAGATACACGTGTATTGTCTCTTTTATCTGGCTGTTAAATTACCGTACTGTTTCCCAGCTGTGAACGTAACACCTCGCTCCATTCATGATGCGTCACGTTTCCTATTTAATTATTCATTTATCACTTTTTACAAACACTCTGTATTCTTAAGTATAGTTAGTGTATGTTTTTATATTTTATCCCACTTTCTATCACACAATATGCAATCCTTGTCTCTGCGATTCCATGGTAAAGTTGAAACATAGACTTACAAATTTTATAATCCAACACCTTTTATTGACACTGTGACCGCATCTGAGTGAAATCCTCGCTCCGGCCTTTGAATTGAAAACCGCTTTGTGCTCCACCATGTTTCTTCCGCTCTGCTCCACCACTCGCTCCGCTCCCATGCTCTGGTTCATAAACGCAATAAGCCCAGCATCAAATTATATTAATTGAACTAACCGTTGACTGACAGTTCTGTGACATTGCGTTTTCAGTGCAACTTAGAGCAATTGTAACAAATCAACGTAACACGTACGAATGGAAACACTGAAAAGGTGAATCAATCAGCACTGAACTGCTTTTGGTACTAATTGGAAAGGGGCATCAGTCTTTATAGTTGAACACAGTGAGTTACACTTTAAATACAGGTGGCTGATGTTGTGCTAATACTGAAGCTTGCAGTCAACCTGCTTTATTCACAGTAAAATCCAGTGGTGTTCTAGTTTAATTGTTTCACCCAACCTCTCTTCTAATGTTTCTTTTAAAACAGCCTAATAACCACTAAGACACAGAAAACAGGAAATGCAAATATACCTCTCTAACATTTAAACTATTTTCAACATGGTCAAGCCAAAGCAATTTTGGAAAGAAAGTTTGTTCTCAAATGAGCCAAACATTTTAAGTTAATTAACCACAAGAAATCCAGATGAAGTCTTAAAAATCTAACAAGAATGTGTAACTATCAAGCATGGTGGTGGTAGCATCATGCTGTTGGCCTTTATTGGTGCTGAGCTTCAGTCCTTTTCGCTCATTATTAAAGAGAATTACTCAAACACATCAGCACTGGTGTTAAAATGGGGGGGAAAGTGTTATTTAAGAGGTAAAAGGGAGTTTTCTGATGATGCTGCCACCTGTGGCCAAAACACAGAACTGCAGCTCTCTTAAGCTCTTTCTCGTAGCTCGTACTTTTTTGCTTTTTAATTACGTTGATTTGTCGTAGGTCTCTAAGTTGAACTGGATGCCGGTTGCTTCTGAGTATTCACAAAATCCATCTTGTATATAACGCTTCGGTTGTTGTCTTGGTCAGAGCCATTAAACATGACCGCGCTTGACATCACATCTGCAGAAACCATGCGGGAACTTCCGACCCAAAGTACATTCAGGGAAAATAGGCTACATGCATAAAGATGCATTGGTCCAGAACTACTGAGGAGTCATTCTGCTCATCAAATGATGTTTTAGTTGTTAATGGCCAAGTAGAAATATATTTTTCTATAAAACCTCGGTGTTCTTTACACCGAAACATCTCAAAAAAAGTTATATTTTGCTTCTTAGTGAGTTCCATGCTAAGAAAACAATCAACTAATGCAATTCTTTTATTTACTTTATTTTTACAATGGCAGCTTTTGTTTGTCCAGTAATAGTACCTTGACCTGACCAGTAATCTTTAGTAATCTCTTACTGGGAGAATCAGCTTTTTCTAGCTGATTGCCTTACATGATTGGCTATATAAATTCCTACAATGAAATCGACCACATAAAATGGATAATTAGTCTAACCCTGTCCACACATCTAATTAATGCAAAATAAGCTTTTTCTTCTGATTCTATTATTTCCTTTATTAATGAAACTGATGTCCTACAGTTCCCCCAGTGTTACGCACCTGCAGTGAGTTTGTGGAGCAACATGGGATCGTGGATGGAATCTACCGCTTGTCTGGAGTTTCTTCTAATATCCAGAAACTAAGGTTAGTGTGCTGTATTCGACTCTGTTTACCATAATCTCCTAACAGTCTAGGGAGAAATGTTTCCATGGCTTTCAATATGGTAATTGAAAAAAACACAAGTACACACTTGCTGCTTTAGTAAGAAATGTGCATATTTAACTGATTATTAAAAGTATTCTGGTGTCTCTAAGCTGTATACCATGATAGGGGGACATCAACAAAGAAGCAATTGGTGCTTCTTATCAACCTGTGCGGGGATAGAGAGCAAATCCTAAACATTCTGAATCCATCACCAGTTAAGACAGCAGCCACTCTTCATAACATTGGATGTCAGAACCAAAAATCACCTAGAATTAGGACTGTTTGATATGACGAAAATATGCATCATTATAAAATTATTCATATCAACCAATGGGCTGCCAACAAGATGCTGCAGGCGCCACCCAGAGTGTCCCAGAACCTGCAGCCGGGGAGAATAAGCATGACTCCTGAGCGAGGTCAGGCAAACAGATCAGAACAGGAAGGCTCAGAGGTCCAGGAGTTAAGACAGTTAAGACAAACCATTAAGACAAAACAGGTCAGGATCAGGTAATCAGAAACCCTCAGCAACGTTAAAAACACTCAACACTGGCTAGAGAAATCAAGAATAATCTGCCCTGATAGCTGGATGCAAGCAGCTTAAATAGAGACAGGAGCAGGTGTATCAGACGAGCACTAATGAGAAACAGAGTTAGACAGGTGAATGGAATGAGTAATTAAGCCTGTCATCAGTGCAAAGATCATGACAATCGATAATTATTGATTGATTGATTTTGTTTTTGTTTTAAAAGAAACAAAAAAAAAAGACCAAAAGAAACATAACCTTTAACCTTTAAAAACAGATCAGCCCTTCAACCAACCTTGCTTACCTTGGATGTGATAGGTTGAAAACCTAAATCCTCTTCTGCCTACATCCCCCAGAATGCCATGCGGTTGTAGACTGTAAAGTGTGAAATAATATAATATTCTGTTGTATATATTTCCTATTGATATTGATCAGGTGTCTCTTGTGAGATATACACTATATTGCCAAAAGTATTTGCTCACCTGCCTTGACTCACATATGAGCTTAAGTGACATCCCGTTCCTAATCCATAGGGTTCAATATGACGTCGGTCCACCCTTTGCAGCTAGAACAGCTTCAACTCTTCTGGGAAGGCTGTCCACAAGGTTTAGGAGTGTGTTTATGGGAATTTTTGACCATTCTTCCAGAAGCGCATTTGTGAGGTCGCACACTGATGTTGGACGAGAAGGCCTGGCTCTCAGTCTCCGCTCTAATTCATCCCAAAGGTGTTCTATCGGGTTGAGGTCAGGACTCTGTGCAGGCCAGTCAAGTTCATCCACACCAGACTCTGTCATCCATGTCTTTATGGACCTTGCTTTGTGCACTGGTGCACAGTCATGTTGGAAGAGGAAGGGGCCAGCTCCAAACTGTTCCCACAAAGTTGGGAGCATGGAATTGTCCAAAATGTCTTGGGATGCTGAAGCATTCAGAGTTCCTTTCACTGGAACTAAGGGGCCAAGCCCAGCTCCTGAAAAACAACCCCACACCATAATCCCCCCTCCAACAAACTTTACACTTGGCACAATGCAGTCAGACAAGTACCGTTCTCCTGGCAACCGCCAAACCCAGACCCGTCCATCAGATTGCCAGATGGAGAAGCGCGATTCGTCACTCCAGAGAACGCGTCTCCACTGCTCTAGAGTCCAGTGGCGGCGTGCTTTACACCACCGCATCCGACGCTTTGCATTGCACTTGGTGATGTATGGCTTGGATGCAGCTGCTCGACCATGGAAACCCATTCCATGAAGCTCTCTGCGCACTGTTCTTGAGCTAATCTGAAGGCCACATGAAGTTTGGAGGTCTGTAGTGATTGACTCTGCAGAAAGTTGGCGACCTCTTCGCACTATGCGCGTCAGCATCCGCTGACCCCGCTCCGTCAGTTTACGTGGCCTACCACTTCGTGGCTGAGTTGCTGTCGTTCCCAAACACTTCCATTTTCTTATAATACAGCTGACAGTTGACTGTGGAATATTTAGGAGCGAGGAAATTTCACGACTGGATTTGTTGCACAGGTGGCATCCTATCACAGTTCCACGCTGGAATTCACTGAGCTCCTGAGAGCGACCCATTCTTTCACAAATGTTTGTAAAAACAGTCTGCATGCCTAGGTGCTTGAATTTATACACCTGTGGCCATGGAAGTGATTGGAACACCTGATTCCAATAATTTGGATGGGTGAGCAAATACTTTTGGCAATATAGTGTATATTAATATTGATTGAATATTCATATAATAATATGAAGTAAAGGTCAGAGCATGCAAAAAAAAGTAATCTCAAAAACCTGAGAGCTCTTTCTCAGGTTTCCGGGCCTCAGTTAGGATCTTATTACAGCAGTGGAAGTCATAGCAGGGCAGCTAGAAAGGGCTTTGGTAGCAGTGTCACCATGAGGATGTGCTTTCCCTCTCAATATCGGCCTGCAAGGCCGTATCTGGGTAAACCACAAATGTCCGGACTAAACTCCTTCACAGAGACAAAACTAGAGATGTCTCCTGCTCATATGCATGGCACCACATTTGTAGAAATCTAAACACTGCATACAGTCAAGCACAGTGGCAGAGGAGGCATTATTTTTAGGCAAAGCTCTAATGGGACTGAGCCATCAGAGGAAAAATAATCCTAAATGCTGACATTAAACAAAAACATAATGGTTAGAAATTTAGAAAAGAAGCAGGTTACTGTTATGATCCCAGTCAAGGTAGACCTCAAATGGACTGAAATGCTCTAGTAGGACCTAAAGAGAGTTGTGCAGAAACCAGTGGTTGCTTTTAAAAGAATAAAAACATTGTTATTAAGGCTCATGAGACACAGTTTCTTAATTATTCTATTACTTATTCTATACTGGAAAATGTTCTTACAATGACTGTATTCAATAATGAGTTTAGAATGAAATGAATTCTTGTTCCTTGACATCAGGGGTGAGTTTGAGAACGACGGGGCTCCAGATCTGAACAAAGATGTCTACCTGCAGGACATCCACTGCGTCAGCTCTTTGTGTAAAGCCTATTTCAGAGAGCTGCCCAACCCTCTACTCACCTACCAGCTGTATGACAAGTTTGCTGTGAGTATCTCTGACGCCACTTTCTAAACGTACATACATGATCATCATTTATCTATCCGTCTGTCTAAAGTTTAAAGCCCAACCTTTTTCCATTTTGAAGAAAATTTCATCTTTCTTTTTTTATCAATCATTTTATCTTATCTGTATATAATGGTCTTTTTGAAATTATTCCGTATGATTCTCTTTAATTATTTTGTGTGGCCTCCATGCCACAGCAATGCAGTTTTTTTCTTATGTCTCTCTTATCTGAAATATATAAATATTCACTGCAAAAACGTTCGGAAAATGAATAAAAATCTCTTAAATTAAGTGTATAATTCCTTCATTTCAGTAGGAAAATAAGATGATTTGCTAATGAAATGATAATATTTACACTTAAAATAAGATAATTAGATATTATGCACTTGAAATATAAGACTGTTTTGTTTCTCTCATTTAGATGTAAATTGTCTTGTTCTGTTGGCAAACTGTCTTAATTACCTCCTCAATAAAAAAAAACAAAAGCACTTATTTTAGGAAAAAATAACTTATTTAAATTAACTTTTTTTGCTGTGTATAAATTTATTTTCCTTATTTTGCCTTTATAATGAGAGATGTTTCATTTACTCATTTGGTCAGTCTTGAGAAAACTGCATACATTATTAGTAGCTCCTTACATAAAAGGAAGAAATGTGATATTTCATAAAAATAGGATATATTTTGGCTCTTTATGTCAGGTGCTTGTATGGCAATCTCTTGTCTAAACACATTTTTTTTGTACGTGGTACATTTCTTTGTACGTTTAAAAACAAATAAAAAGGCTTCTTGCCCAAATTGTTTTTAATATATACAGTATATGGTCCAGTAAAAACTATGTTTCCTAACTTTGGAGATTGTAAGACTATAAAAGGAAGTAGTTTGCTAATAAATGCATGTATTCCTGCAGGAGGCAGTGGCCATCCAGCTGGAAGAGGAGCGGCTGATAAAGATCAGGGATGTTCTGAAGGAGCTACCAGAGCCTCATTACAGGTAGAGTCTCCTGCAGCACAGCGAGAGCCTCTAAAGCACAGATCCCTGATATTTATTAGTGCTATAGAAGGTAAATATGGAGAGTATATTAAATAAAGAGTCTGAACCTTAGCAGACTGAGAGTGTGTTTTCATTTGCATTTTTGTCAAATTAATTCCAGATACAGAGACTTAAGGCACATTTTTTATATTTCAACATTTCTGATACATAAAAGGGTTTTGAAAATATTCACAAATTTCTATGTTTCTGATTGACTGAATTGTGTTGACAACATTGTTTTTTTTTTTTATCTGTTAGGAAATGTTAGAGTTTTCTGGGATCTGTGCTGCAGGCTTCCAGTACAGCTGGGGCATTACATTATAGAAATACTGTAGCTAAGCAAAATGATGCTAATGTCTTTTTTCCAGCATATGAATATAATCTTATATCAACATTTCCAGACATTAACACTGAACAATTTATAAGTGGCTATATTATTGTATAATCTATTTGTAGCCATTTTCCTATGATGCTTATATTAACAAAAAATAAAAATAGTTTTAAACTTTCTGTGTCAACATTGAAAACTTTAAAAAATATCATTCATTTTAATTGTATAATAGATCTATTAAGAAATGTTTCTATAATATAGTAAAGTTTCCATCATTAGTGTTGAAGTTTTTTTTTTGTAATTTTCTCTTTATAAAAAGATTTCCGGTTTACTAATTAGGCTGAAAAAAGAGCTTAAGAGGGTTTGTTTGGGCTTCCTGTTTTATTTAGTAGACTTTTTTACAGATCAAATGTTCTTTTAGAAATTATAAAAGGACACCATGCATTCATATTCATAAAGTAATCAGAAAAGACTATAGTTAGCCCTTAGTGATGTGTATAGAGGCCTATATCATTACAGGTGGAGGATTATTGATAAAGGATAATGCTTAATAACTAATGTTGCAGGACTCTGGAGTTTCTGATGCGACATCTGGTCCGGATGGCTTCATATTCCTCAGAGACCAACATGCATGCGCGCAACCTGGCCATCGTCTGGGCCCCCAACCTGCTCAGGTGTGCTACTATGAGGCCCACGGCCTTTGCCTAAATCCCTCTGTCATGTTTTGCTAAACAAATAACCTTTTTTGTTCTTTCTTGGGGATCTGGAACATAAGGTCGAAGGACATTGAGGCCTCTGGATTCAACGGTACAGCAGCCTTCATGGAAGTTCGAGTCCAGTCCATCGTGGTGGAGTTCATCCTCACTCACGTCCCTCAGCTGTTTCCTCTTGAAGGTCTGAACAAACTCTCCCTCACTTTTCCACTGTCAGACCCATTGCTATATCGCTGCCTTCTCTGTCCTTCAGGTGCACCTGCAGAGAGAAGGAAGTCCCTCCCCTCTCCGACAGCGCTACCCAATCAGGACGTCCTGTTCTTCAAGTCCTCAGGTTCTCAGCCTAACTTTGGGAACATCAGTCCTGGAGACGGACCCCTGGCGATCAGACCCTACCATGCAATAATCGAAGGCACAGACAAGTGAGGGCACTGATCTCCAGAGAGCTCACACCATGCACATGTTTACACACTGTAGGACTAAACCCATTCAAGGCCGTGTGCATCTTAATTAGTTTCATAGAAAGAGAGGGTGGGGAAATGATAATGATAAAATTTGAACATTTCACATTTAAAGTGTGTTTGCAAATTGTCTTTTTCCTCAGGAGGAAAGGATCGCTTAAAGGCAGGAAATGGATGTCCATTTTTCACATCGGAGGACGATTCCCAGACCCAAGAAAGAAACACAAACATTCCACCAAGGGTATGAAATCCTCTTAGAGACATTTCTTCTCTTCTTCTCATTTTAGAGGTTTACTGAAAAACCTGTTTGTCTAATCCTCTTAAAGATGAACACAAAACTAAATATTTTAATGTACATAAACAACCTCCATGTTATCTAACACATGAACATAAAAGGACTTTTGGGGTGGTGATCAAAATAATATTAGAATACATACCAAACTGTAGTGCATGCTTTTAAAGACACTTTTGAGGGTCTTTTTTTTTTCTTTTTAAAAATGTCACTGTTTTTTGTTTTTTCAGAAAAAGACAGAACGCCTTTAAGACCTGCAAGAAGCATGGACTCCCTCAGCACGCCGTCCTATCCCAACGAAGGTGCTATGCTTTGAAATATGTTTTAAAACTCAAATTTCAGATAAAATATTTAACCATTTGATGCAAAGTTGTTTTTTTCTACAAAAAAAACTTAAATGCTTAAGAGTTGTCTGGTGATGTAGAAAGATTTGGTGATTTTGACATTTTTGTGTTTGATCCACAAAATACCAGTGGAAGAGACAGGGGCGGATTTAGGAAATTTAGGGCCCTAGGCAAAAACAGGCAGGGGGCCCTCTAAATCAAGAAGGCAGAACATAAACAAACCCATTATAGAGATAAAGAATTTTTTATAAAATAGGCATACATTATTTGTTCTCCCTTTATTCCCTCTCCTCTTGTCCCTTTTCCTGTTGTTTTCCTCTCTATGGTTTTTTTGTCTCTTTTTCTTTTCATATTAACAATGTGCTCAGCTGTCTTTTCATGCTGTCTCTAACTTAGCCCATTCTAACTTAGCTGATTGCTCCTTCCTGTGTTTCCAAAAAGATGACGGCAAAAGTAAATAACCCAGATCCTCTTTTCACTGTAGACAAGCCATGATCTGCTTATCTGTTCTCCATTTTTGATTTGGATGAAATAATAACTGCATGAATCATGACAGCAGACAAGATAGAGGAGAGCAGGAGGCGGGGTTACCAATCTACTTGCTCTGGAGAGCAGAGTTCGCTGCCTTTAGATGTTGTCGCCAAAGTCTCCAGCAGCAGAAAAAAGTCGCTATATTTGGCGCTAGGCACTTTTTTGTAACAAAAGCACTAGAGGGGTCTGAAAAGTCGCTAAATTGGCAACACTGCTCTTCACATTGTTTGTTTTCAAATGGTTTGCTGCTGTCCATTGGATGTTTCCGAACATGTGCAGCAAATGGACCGATCCATTGTGACGGACACTGAAGGGGGGCTGAGACACACTTAATATTATAAGCTTCCTGATGGCATTTTACCGAAAGGATTTTAATTAAAAACATAATTAATGTGCACAAATAAGGAATAGCTGTATTAACCATACATGTAAACTTATATTTATGGGGCCCCCAGGAACTTGGGGGCCCTAGGCAACTGCCTAGTTTTGCCTAATGGTAAATCAGCCCTTGCGAAGAGATTTGTTTTCACAGCTATCAGAAGAATATATGCTTGCCTCTATTGTGAAGTAAGAAAAAAACTGAAAAAACAACACATAGAATAATAAAAACTTATATAGTAGAGCAGCAATACAACAAAACAAAACTATTTGCATTTATCCCCCAAACTGCAGTGTGGATTATGTTACCTTAATCTGAAAGCTAATCTACTGAGGAAGCTGAACAGAAACCAAACCCTATGAAACGCTGCAGAGAAACTGGCAGCTTTTATTTACTGAAAATCTCTTGAGGCCTAGCTCCTCATTTACAAAAGAGAAATCAAAAGTGTTTATAAATCTGTATTGAGAAAATAACAGTGGAAACATTTTAAACAGCAGAAGTAGAACCAGAAACAGAAAGTCCAGTGATGCTCAGAGAGAGATGGGTCCTTTACCATAAGGAGAGGCGTTAGGGATGTAAACCAGAGCCTTTAACCTGGAATGACTGAAACACTTGAAACATGAGCTTTTCTTGATTTATTTTTATCTAATTCCTCTGATACATTTGCAAATCCAGACAATAGTGGCTCAATGTCCAACATTTTTTCTCCTGTTTCTTGTATTTCAGGTTCCAGGCGTTCTGGGCCCCGTCCTCCATCCAGCAACATGTCCCCTGCCATCACCTCCTCTCAGCCTCCCTTAGACACCCCAGCATCTGGCGGTGGATTGGGTAGCAGCGAATACGCAGTAACCTACCGCAGAGGAACAGGCTTAGTCAGCGGAGGTGCAGGGACACAGGGTACCTACACAGCTCTGGACCCTGATGGTTTAGTGATACCAGGCAGCGAGGGGATCCATTCCAGGTCCCCAGGACTCTCCAACAAAGCTAGAAGAGCTGCCATGCACATCACAGGCCCCACCCTTGTAACGGTGCCGCTACATATCACCTCTAACCTGGCGTTAGGAGTGCTTCAGGGGGGTGGCGACAGGGTTATCCTCCGTGGAAGAGACAAGGACGGAGGGGATAAGCAGGAAGGCAAGGAGGCAGGGGGGAAGATTGAGATTAAGGAACCCAAAGGAATGGAGTGGAACGTAGAAGCGAGCAAAAATGATGAGCAAAAGGACACGAGTCAAAATGAAAAAGAAGACTTGGACACAGCAGGAAATAAACGGGTAGCAGGAGACTCTGGAGAGGTGAAGGATGAAGGAGTTAAAGAGAAAGGAGACAAGGAGTCAGGAAAAGATGGCGAGCACAAAGAGGAGACACAGATCGGAAACCAGCATGTGGCGAGTGAGAAACATTCTGAAAGCTCCGTCACAGGGGAAGGTGATCAAGAAAACATCGCAGACGATGATCAAGGCAGCGAATACATGGGTAATTAACAGCAATTCATATCCATTACTGATTAATATAAATATCAGAGATAAAAGGAGCAGCTGAGGCCTTTAATCAACATTGTTATTATCATCAAACCATTCTCTTTCTGTCACGCTTATCCCTGCTGGGGTTGTGAGGTGTGCTGGTGCCTATCTCCAGCTGTCTACTGGCAAGAGGCGGAATCCACCCTGGACAGGTCGTAGGTCCATTGCAGGGCAACACAGAGACAAACACGACAAACAACCATCTACACACTCCTAAGGAGAATTTAGAAAGCCATTTGACCTAAGAATCGTGTTTTTTGGACTATGGGAGGAAGCCGGTAGCCTAGTGAGACCATCCTGATCTTGCGAGCTTTCAAGGTTTCACTCGCAAATCAGTCTGGAGACTCTCCGAAAATTTGGAGCCGTTCACCGAACGAACGTCCAATCAGCGTTGGCTTTGAGCCGGGTTGAGGTGTGACGCAATGAGAAGCGCGACAGTTCATTCTAAAGAACATGGCGGCTTCAGCCGATGAAACTAGCATTAGCGTGGCTATCGAGCAAGTTTTATCGGAATTACAGAGTATTTCTTCACTGAAAGAAGAGCAAAACACTGCTCTGGAGGCTTTTCTCGGAAAGAATAGCCTGGCTTGTGGTTGTGTTTTCGTCGTCGCTCTGTTAGTACGTCATATGCTTCGTTGATCTGATTGGTTTATTTGGCCCGTCTATCACCAACTTAGGCCAATCAGCTAACCAGTACTTTCACCCCTTCCCAAAATTACCTCAACGGAAGGTTTCCAGATGGATATGCGGAGCAAATCCATCTGGCGGAGTCAGGTTAGGAAGCCGGAGTATCCAGAGAGAACCCACACATGCTCAGAGAGAACATGGAAACTCCATGCAGAAAGAACTGGGGCAAGGAATTGAACCCTGAGCAGCCCATTAGTATTATTATTATTATTGAGTATCGTATGGGTCACATAATCACTCAGTAACTTTGTCTTTTTTTGTGCTTTTTAGGTTATTTAAAACATTATGAGTTGAAATAAGACTAACCTGTTTATGTTTTTTAGAGCAAACCTCAAACACTCCTCCCTACATCAAAATAGGCTCCTTTACCAAATCAGCAAAGATGAGACTGACAAAAGCAACATAGAAGCTCAGGTTAAAGTCTTCAAATCAACACAGAGATGCAGACATGTCCTTATGTCAAAAAAGGAGGTTAGGTTCATAATTTAAACTGAATTCTATGCAGGAAACCCCATTTTAAAAATGATTAACAAGCTGGTAGAAGGATACATAAAAAGTTATAAAAATACAATTCTAACACACACTAAAGGAAACATATGCAAATTACTTTCATTGGAAAATAATAATAACCTTGACTTTAAGCAGAGAGAAATAATGTGGATAATCCTAACTGACTCAACATTAAAAGTTTAGTTTGATTTAATGCCAGACAGAGAGAAAAAAAGATGCTATAACTCAGGGCTGAAAGAATTAATCGTGATTAATCGATTATTGTGATGATCGTCAACTAACTTAGTAATCACTTAATCATTAAATTAATAGAGACTGTAAAACATGTTTTTGGCTGACAGAGCGACCCTCTTATAGTAACATCCATCCATCTATCCATTTTCTACCACGCTTATCCCAAGTGGGGTCGCGAGGGATGCTGGTGCCTTTCTCCAGCAGTCAATGGGCGAGAGGCGGGGTACACCCTGGACAGGTCACCAGTCCATCGCAGTCTTAGTAACAGTTACACCAAAATCGTAAAAAAGTATTTAAAGATTTTGCATTTAAGATAAAAATCGTTTTCGTCTTTAAGTTTGCTCTGTCCAAAACTCCTTAAGTGGAAAAGTTTTAGTTTGACCTTGTTCAATTCTGTTAAAAATCTTCTTAAGGAACCTTTTACTATACGATTATTAACTGATTAATCTAAAAAAAATAATTGATAGATTAATGGATTTGCAAAACAATCGCTAGTTGCAGCCTTAGTATAAATGTTAATTTCGGGTTCAGATGTTTTTACATGTATGGGAGTTGAATATAATAATTAATGTTGGCTTTGTGGGTTAGAGCAGAGCGCTTGTGCTCTGAATATGTTGCAAGTACCCGGTTTAATCCCCACAGCCTCCAATCTGGGTTCATGAGCAAGACTCTTAACCACTGACTGCTCCCTGGGCGCCACACAATGGCAGCCCACTGCTCCCCAAGGGGATGGGTTAAAACACAGAGGACGAATTTCCCCATTGTGGGACAATAAAGGGATTTTCACTTTTTTTTTTTTTTTACATTTGAGATGGCAGTGTTTGTATTAGATCATCATTAAAGATGGGGATCCTGCACATAAACGACACAAAAAAGGAGGTGATGCAAAAATAATAACAGTGTTCAGTGTCGATCTCCAAGTAACCTGTTTCCAATAGATTGTATATTTCTTTGTAAAAGCTTTTTTATATTTTCAGTAAGTTTGACCCTGACTTTACTTTTACAGAAATGAAATGTTCAGAGCAAAGCCATTACCAGGCAGCAGCAGCAGCCTCACTGCATGAAGATGATGCTGAGTCTGAACCTAAAGATTTCCTAAACTCGACTGAAGTAGAGGGAGACGAGGAAGACCAAAAACTGTCGGGCTACGTTCAAGATAACTTTGAATTCCTGGACCTAATGGACCAAATGGATTATAGTGCCATGGACCACATGGACTGCAGCATGTCCTATCAGGTGGGTTGTGTGTGTGTGTGTTTTTTTTTAGGAGGGTTGAAGGTGTAACATATTTGATAAATCGTGCAGTATAAAGGTCCAGTGATTGAAATTTGGAAGTATTTTCCTTTAACCTTTAGGTTAATGAGTTCTCCGTGGAGCCTCCTTGTCACTCTGATGACGAGTATGAAATGATGGCTCATGCTGAACGACCAACCCAGAGTGTAACAGAGTTTAAACCACACAGACCACTCAGCCTGGACCTGCACAGTCGACACACTAAATCCCTCAGTCTGCCCTACATGAAGTCTCCCGTCGACGGCCCCGTGGAAAACTCTAGCTCAGATGAAGAGGTTTCGGAAGACGACGGCGATGGAGAAAATTATAGCAGTGAAGAAGATGAGAGCATGTTTGTGAAGAGCCTCCCGTCTGACTTCTTTCTAAACACTCTGTCTGGACTTGAAGACTTTCCCAGTCCTGACAGAGACATGCTTGATGGGTTACGAGGAGAAGAAGAAAGAAGTTACCAACCACTGGATGTTGAACTTCCTGTTTGTACAGAACCCACTGAGCGCGTGCAGGAGAATGCTGGAAATGATGAAGAAAGACAAGAAACAAAAGAGATGGAACAGAATGAAGTTCACCATGAAGATCAGCTTGACATGGATACAGAGAGGTAAACAATTATTAATATTTTGCTCAGCAATATTTCATTATCAATTACTTCCTAAGCACAGTTTAAACCAGTATATAGTTTTATATTCCAAATGTAGAGGAGAACCAACAAACCGTTATCACTATTGTTGCACCGATACCGATACCAGCATCAGGTGGGGCCCTGATACTGCACTAAAATAGTCACAAGTACCAACAAATAGGGACCGATACCATTTTGATAAAGTTTATTGTCACACTGTTAACTATGGTCACCCATTCCAGGTAGGCAATAAAAAGTTCTACTGGATTCACTTTGTCTTTTAGCAGCTTGACAAAGCCATGATGGCAATTATTTTACATCCAAGTAGTATGCTGTTCTTTGTATATATATATATATATATATCAGTGACGTGCGGTCAGGGGAGGCAGGTGAGGCAGTGCCTCACCAGCCATCATGGAAAGAAAGAAAATATATAATCATAAAGTAATTTAAATTGTTATATTCATCCGGTGGTTTGTACTAAAAAATATTCATTTTTCATGTAGCTTCACCAATTTCGATTTTTATTTGTTCAAAATCGCTGAATTTTCTTATTTTCCCATTCAAATGCTTGGAAGCGATGCCGGTGAGGCAGCAGCGAGCTCTGCCTCACTTTGGATTGCGCAACCCCTGGCTCTGCGCTGGCTGCAAAGCGGAGAGAGCATGTTGCTGTACGGCGTCAATAAAATGGTTTAAACAAATGTAATATGTGAACTTATTTCTAATAATTTGGCTTATGTATATAATGTACAGAGCTTTTTGTCACCAACTGTGTTTGTGTAACGTGTTTCGTGTAATGAGCGATTATAAACGGCAGAGAACAAGTTCGAGGTGAGGCAGGCAGTTCTCTTGCCTCATGGCAGGGGGTGCTCAAGAGACTGAAAACATAAGGCAGGAACAGGACGGATCAAGGAAGGCTTTCTTCCCTGGCAGTGATCTCCATTGAGACAGAGAGACTTTTAAAACTGAAGGAAGATAAGGAGGACTTCTATTCATTTATAAGTAAAGGTAAGACAGTAATAACATTTATTTTGTTTTGTTTTTTAAGGAAATGTGTGTTTTGTGAGCTACAGTTTGTATGTGTAAGGATGCAGAAGTGAAACATAACCTGTAAACTGCTGTCAATCTATGCATCTATTTGCAAATCTGATTCTGATGACGTCAGTGCCTCACCAGCTATGAACCTCACCGCACGTCACTGATATATATATATATATATATATATACACACACACATCAATTTCAAACAGATGGCATCGGTATGGTACCGGTATCGGCCAATACTGCACAGCCAGGTATCGGGTATCGGTGCCAAAAAATGGCATCGGCGCAACACTAGTTATCACCAATCATAAACACATTTATGACCAGTTCTCTGATAAATATGATGAAAGATACAATAAATATTAATGGTGAGGGGGGTGGAAGTGAGAGGGATCTTTAGATTATTACTATTATTACTAGAACCTTCTGGATTAACTGAGATTACCCGGCATGAGCTAGTTTTTCTGTTTTCCTTGTAAATTTCATGTCAGGGTACAGGAACGACATCATATCTGGAGGAATGTGCCATTATTAAATCTGGAAGAACTGTCAGTTTTGATAATAGCTGTGGTCCTCCAGCAGACACAAATGGCTATTGTAGTTTTTAAGGTTTTCTTGATAGAAATGGAATCTTAGCAACATGTGAAGGAAATGCAGAATACTTTCAATATCTGAAATGTTTTCACATGTACACGTTATATAGCTTAGTAACATGTTGACATGGATGAACAGTGTTTTCAAATATTGTTATTTTATTGAACATTGTCACACCAATTGTTTTACATGTAGAAATTATCCTGCTAGATAACATGTGAAGAGAAACATTTGTTGACATAGTATTACTTATTTACATGAAGACAAAGTGAGTTCACATGTGGATCTTATACTATGTAATATCATGTGAACACAAGTGTTTCTCATATGAACATTATGTTGCTTAATATCAAGTTGAAAAAAGTGTTATCACAGCACATGTGGACTTTATACTAGTACCATGTGAACAAATGTGTTTCACATATATGGATGTATGATATAGCTTTTTTAACATTTGAGTACAATCTTTTCTGGTGTTGATATCGTACTGCTTAGTAAGACATAAAAACTTTATACTACTAGTAACATGTGAACAAAGTATGTTCATATGTGGATATTATAAAGCGAATGTAGGTCTTTATTTTTCATATGGATATTATATTAATTAGTTAATCGTAAAAACAGATGTTGCACATATACTGTAATCATGTTGCTGCTTAATAACATGTGAACAGGTTATTACATGTGGACATTATATTGCTTAGTTACGTACACACAAGTGTTTCACATATGGCCTATATACTACCTGTACAATGTGAACACATGGTGTGGATATCACACTGCTTAGAAACAGGTGATGATAAGTGTTCCCCATGTGGACTTTATACTAGTAACTTGTAAAAAAATTTATTTCACATGTGTATATTACATTTTAGCACAAGCTTTTCACTTGTGGATAGTATCTTTCTTAATAACGTGTCTACATAATAGTTCTGCATGTGGACATTATATTGCTTAGCAACATTTGAACTCAAGTGTGGACTTGACATTACAGTACTAGTTACATGTGAACAAATGTGTTTCACATGTGCATATTACACAGCTTTTCAACATTGAGAAGAAGCTTTCCACTTCTGAATATCCTACTGTTTAGTAACATGTGAAGACAAGGGTTTTACATGTGGATATTATAATTACTAGTAATACGTGAACAATATTCAATTCAGTTGAGTTTATTTATATAGCACCAATTCACAACACATGTCATCTCAAGGATCTTTACAATTCAACCGAAGTCAATCCCTCACACTAAGCATGCTTGTAGCGACCCTGGAGAGGAAAAACTCCTTTTTAACAGGAAGAAACCTCCAGCAGAACCAGGCTCAGTGTGAGCGGCCATCTGCTGAGGCCAACTTGGGTTCAAGGAGACAGAAGCAGAGATACAGAAAGAAGTAGAGAAACAAAGGCAATAGGACTACACCGAAAAACAGCCCATGCTCCAACATCTACAAAAAAAGTTGTTGATGGTAGCAGCACAGCTGATATTTCCCTCCAGGATGGAGTCACGGCCAAATTGGAACAGACCAGATGAAGCTATTATGAGAAAAAAAGAGGGAGTATAGGGTTAGAGATTGAACAAACAGATTCTGCAGAGTGGGAGAATTGAAATAGAATGAAGCAGAATGATGAAATGGGGGTCCCTATGTCCTCCAGGAGTCTAAGCCTATAGCAGCATAACTATAGAGATAGCTCAGGATAACCTGAGCCACTCTAACTATAAGCTTTATCAAAAAGGAAAGTTTTAAGCCTAGTCTTAAAAGTAGACAGGGTGTCTGCCTCACTGACTTAAAACTGGTAGCTGGTTCCACAGGAGAGGAGCCTGATAACTAAAAGATCTGCCTCCCATTCTGTTTTTAGAAATTCTAGGAACCACTAGTAAACCTGCAGATTGAGAGCGAAGTGCTCTGTTGTGAACATAAGGAACAATCAGATCTCTGATATCAGATGGAGCTTGGCCATTTAAGGCTTTATATGTGAGAAGGAGGATTTTAAATTCTATTCTGGATTTAACAGGAAGCCAATGAAGAGAAGCCAGGATAGGAGAGATATGATCTCTCTTTTTCATTTTCATCAGAACTCTGGATGCAGCATTTTGGATCAGCTGAAGGCTTTTAACTACAATTTGTGGACTTCCTGATAGTAAAGAATTACAATAGTCCAGCCTTGAAGTAACAAATGCATGGACACATATATTTCACATGTATATATTACATAGCTTTTTAACATTTGAGCACAAGCTTTTCTGGTGTGGATTGCTTAGCAAATCGTGTCACATATACGATATTGCTTTTTTCTCATACGGACCTTTTAGCAATTATTTCGAAAACAGGTTTCTCACGTAATATTTATTTTGGTGCTTCTACATGTAAAACATGTGATCACATGTGTTTTTCTTCACAATAGAAATTTCTTCTTCAGTTAATGCTCCAGTTGATTATCCAGATTAAAGCTCAGCTTGAAAACAAATGAAACGCACCATCAGTTAACCAGACAAGTTCCCTAGTTCCAGAAAAATGGTTTCTTATGTATGATGCTTATAGCCAGTTCATTTTCCAAATCTCTAAACAATATATGAGGCAGATTTTGGCTGATGGGAATTTGCTGTGCAATAACCTTATTTGGTTCAGCTTCAACACAGTGATCAGTTTCATAAAACATTACATTTTGAATAAGCAATGTTAAACATGGTATCTGAGAAGCTGTTAACGCAGATTTTAATTGACATCAGATCAAGTCTAAACCAAATTTACTTTCTTTTTCTTTGTACTAAATAGGGCAAGAAAAATAGCCTTACAGAATACATTTATGGCATAAATAAGGAAAACGACTGTAAACTAGTGATAAAATGATATATCTACTGTTCGATTCAGTTTTATTTGTTTGGGGTTTCCTTATCAAGACTTAAAGGTCCAACTTGGTGCTGGCTTTATATTTAGACAAAAACAGAGAGAAGTGCTAACAATTATGCTAACTTTTTACCGTTAGCTAAATTCGGGCTAATGCTACCACCTGTATAGATCATTATGCTAACTAAGTTTTGGTGTTTTGTTTTTCTATAAATTCTTTATCTAATTGGAAACTAACTTTAACATGAAGAAAATAAAGTGTCCTGAGAGGTGACTGACTTATAATGGGAAGAATAAACAAAAAAGACGTCAAAATAACAAAGCGAGAACAAAGAACACATTTTTAAATGTCTTGTAATTAGCTTATTTTACCTTTCAGAAAATAAACTTGCTGTTAATTATGATTTTTATTTAGCAAGAGATTGCTCAGAGTTGTATTAAATTGTATGGGGGTCATTTTTCATCCAGTGATGAAAACCCTGATTAAATGGCAATTCTGAATAATATTTAATAATACAATTGAAGTGAATTAAACTGTTCTCCTATTTTTTTTATTTTTATATTTATTGAAATTTGTATAACATTTGTCATGATGGCATTTCAAACTTTTAATTATTTTCTTGTGATTTTATATGATGAAGCAACTTGAATGAGAACATGAATACAAAAAACAACATTTAAAAAAATGTCACAATTCTTTGAACAAACACCTTTCACCCAGGCTTTAGCTGGAATAATTTGTTTAATTTACCTCCGAATCGATGGTTGGATGTTTGGGGAACCTCCCGACCAATCAGGAGTCTTTCAAAGCTTCATGGTTCACAATGGGGAGAATTTGTTGTAGAAACTGTTTGTATTACAGCATTGTCTTCCACTGCTGTGTAAATTCTCAGTCGTCCGGCTCATAGCAACCAAAAACAGGCTTTAATTGAAAAGCAACCAAACTTTCGCTCAGTCAGATTGCTCTGGTTCTGCACAACAGAATTGACAGACTCCTGGATAAGTGTCCGGCTTTCCAAAAAACTGAGGATAGGTTGCTTTCTGGGTTGCTTGCAGTGCCTTTTGGTACAAACAGCATTTGGTTTCTACAAGACATAACTCTTTGTTTTATGGGCAGATTTGTGAAGCTGGATGACTGATAGTTGCTCTGTCAACAACTGAGCAATTGATATTTGCAGCTCCTCCAGAGTTTGACTCTCCTTTCCGGTTTAGAGGGGCACACCAGGACACATTTTGGTACATTTTCAGTTGTGCCATTTTATTTAGTTATTAAATGACTTCTGGATGCAACTATGAGCTACTTTAAGTTCCTGATAAAAGGGTTTGTAGTTTTAATTAGTGTTGCACTGGTGCCATTTTTTGCCCCCGATACCCGATACCTGGCTGTGCAGTATTGGTTGATACCGATACCATCTGTTTGAAACTGATGTGTGTGTGTATATATGAAGAAATGCATACTACTTGTATGTAAAATAATAGCTGCTGCCTACATTTATGAAGCAGGAAAAAGACTCACAAAGTGAATCCAGTAGAACTTTTTATATCCTACAAGGAATGGGCGACAATAGTTGAATAAAACTTTGGTTCTTAAAATGGTATTGGTGCCCTATTTGTTGGCGCTGATACCGATACCACCATTTTAATGCTGGATCGGGGCCCCGCCCGATACTGGTATCAGTGCAACACTAGGTCTAATGCTAACTATATACAGTCAGCACGGCTCAGTATTGTTCTCTCCAGGTTTAAATGTTTTGCAGATCTTTGACCTTCTTTTTAATCTGTCATTTCAGCAGAACAATAGAAGAATCTCAGAGAGCTACAGAAGACGGTCCAACTGAAAACTGCCTAGTTTCAGAAACATCAGCAGGCTGCTGTGAGGAGCTCGAGCTGCCGAGCATCCAGGGCAATCAGGAAATCAACAAAGTGACTGAAACAGAGTTTGAGAGCGGGAAAGAGGTTCTAGATGAGTCTGAAGATGCTTCTCTTCCTCCAACACAACACCCTGAAAGCTGTGCCATGGAGGATGTTACAGATGAACACAACATGTCTGGACATTCTGCTTCTAGAGAACCGGACTGTGTTGAAGGACCCATCCACAGAGAACACAATGAGGAAGACAATTCAGACAGTAGGACAAACAGTGACATTTGGAGCGAGCTTGAGGATGTTGTATGTGAAGTGATTGAGGATGAGGAGAGCAAACACTCTGAGAGGAATGCTGCTGAAGAGGCAGATGGAGAAAAAGATGGAGAAGCAGAGGAGGAAAATGAAACAAACAAGACAGAAGATAAAATGGAGGAGGAAGAGGAGCCAAATGTAGGAAAACCTATAGATGAAGCAATGGCGCAGGAGAGAAATGAGCTTGAGCTTAACCAAGAAGGCGTAGAAGAAGTGGTTTCAGAAGAAACAGAAAAGGAGAAGGAAGACAAGGACAGAGCCGAAAGCAGAACACAACAGAGTGCTGATAAACAGCTGCTGATCTCATCTGATATTAGGGACTCAAAGGAAGGAAGTATGCCTGCGAATGGTGACAGTGGCTTAGGATGTGTTGGGAGGAAGCTGGTCGTCTCCAAGGAGCCTAAGATTTACCAGGTCAAAGCTGTGCCGGTTGTTCCCCCAAAGCCTCAACACTGCAAAATGACTGCTTTGACCCTCCGCCACCAGCAACAGCAGAGAGACAGGCGAGACAACACCCTGAAGGTCCCCGCTGAGCAGGAGCGAGAAGGAGAGGGAGACCGGGAGAATGCCGAAAAAAAGGACAGGCCGTCCACACTCAGGGAGAAGAAGAGGGACGCTCTGGAAGGGGGCGTAAGGGATGCAAAGAGGAACAGCCCACTCAGCATGTGCTTCGATGAGGCTGTGGCCATCGCAACCCTGAGGAGAGAGAAAGAACGAGGGCGAGAAGGAGACGCGGACTGAGAGGGACTGTGAAAGTCAAACAATGAAAGAGGAACTTCATTTTAGGCAACTGTGGGATGCAGCCTCAGATGATGCTGAGAAAACTCTGTGCCCATTTATAAGAGTCCAAGCATCACTGTGGAAAATACCTGCTGGCATTTTTGTCACCATTGTTAATATCTAGTTTTACTGGTTTACAGGCATCATAGTGGCTTTATTGTCCTCATCTGAAGAAAATTTGTTAGGACCACATTGTTCCTTTGGTTAGGATGTTTAAAAAGCCTCGAAATAAATCCACCATTTGCTTCAGCAGAATGATCTCCCATCAAAAACACTTTCCTCGGTTCAACAGTGGAAAATACTCTCTTAAAATAAAAAAGGATTTATTTCAAAGGATGATCTCATCCCTGCTGTAAATACTTTCCACAATCTCTCTATAGGCAAACTATTTTATCATTTGAATATAAACTTCCCGTACTTGACTGATATGTTTCCTTATCTTTTCCATTTTAAAGAAAAGGTAAGTGTATTTTCAAACCCCAGAAACAAATAAAAATTAGCAGTTCTTAGATGCTAGGAGCAATATACATAACACAATTTTAGAAAGTTATGTAAAATGAAAAACAAGTCGATTGATTATGTAATATCAATGATCTCAAATATGAAAATTTTACCCAACTGAATAAATGTACTCAAATAGCAATATATTTTTTTTTCACAACTTTTCCTTCAATTTCCACTGTGACATTTTATTACTGTTATTAAAGATTAATATCAATCAAGGATTTTTATGCATCTTTACCTGTTTTCTTTTCTTTTGGATTTTTTTTTTTTTTTGCATCTATCAGGTAAAAATTAAATTACAGACCTTTCAAATACATGGATAACAGTTTGTTTTCAATGGTCATGGGATGATCTGGCCAGATTCAGTCATTTATTATTACATTTAGGTGGACATTACATCCTAATGTCAGGATGGTTAATCAGGGCGTTATTAATGAAATGCCTTATGGATTTTATATGTATTCTTTTTTTAAATAACATCAAATAAATGTAAATCTTGAGGTGAAGCAAAGTATTAAGTGCTGCTGTGACATCAAACATCACAAGAATAAACAGCCTTTTTGAGAACTAATATTTTTTTATGTGTGACGATTGTATAAAAAAAGCATTTTACTTTGTTTTCTGGCATTTTGATTCTCAAGGTTTGTCTTGGAAATGGCTCTGTGGCACTTACTGTTTGCACTTATTATAAAAAGGTGATGTACATAAATAGTTTATCTGAAATGTCTGGTTTAAGGCTGATAAATAAAGAGCATTTTAAATGAATGGAGTGTTAATTTTTGTTTTTATTGGCTTGTTTGAAGAATAATAAATGGGATGGGTTTGTTTTATGCTAGAAGTAATGAAGTGTTTAAAAAAATATATAGCCTAATGAGGAAATAACATTTTGTTTGAGATACTATCAATATTTTAGGAGATCAGCAAAAATGTTAAAACTTGAACCGAGGGGCGTGCAGGTGATGCAGTGGATAGCGCGCATGACCCACGTACGGAAGCCTTAGTCCTCAACGCGGCCGACACGGGGTTCGAATCCACCCTGTGGACCTTTGCCGCATGTCCCCCCCCTCTCATATGCCCTTTCCTGTCAGCCTACTGTAGAAAAAAACGAGCCACTAGTGCTGTAAAAACTCCAAAAAGAAAACTTAAACCAAAATATATATCTTTTCAAATGGCCAATGACCTTAATCATGTCTTCAAGTGGCTTAAGGAGACCACATTTTAATATTTAAAGTGGCCACCACCATATTCTGTAGCTGCAATTCTTGTCCCATTCATATGTGGGGAGAGATGAAAAGGTTTATGTGAGCAGAAAACTCCAGCAAACTAAGTAGTTTGTTGAAGTGTACCAAGTGTCATGATCTGTCCTGTTTGCTCCTCCATAATTGATGATCTCTTTCACCGGCCATTTTCCCTCCCTGCTTTAATTATAATTTATTCCTCTCAGCTGTTTCCTCTTGGTTATATTCAGTTCAGCCTGAGCATTCGGTGCCAGATCATTACTTGTCTTTCTGTTAGTCTTTCTGTTCAGTTTTTTCCTTGGTTCATGTCCTGGATCCTGGCAGCCAGTGGAAAGAGGGTTTTTGTGTCTGTCTCGTCTCCTGATCGTCCACTGTTCCTCCCCCATGGAGTCCTCTGGGTTTTGGCAGTGTTGGGCAAGCTACTTGTCCAGTGTAGTGAGCTAAGCTATCAGTTACTCAACAATAAATTAAACTTCACTACACAAAAGCTACCACCTAAAGAATTATAGCAAGCTAAGTTACACTAATGCGTTAACAGTAGCTTAACTACATCAGAAGTTACTTAACGTTGTACCAACCTAATATCAATTCAAAATGAGTCTGATACAATGGTTAAAATATTTATTAAAGATCAGCCAATGACATAACACAGTGTAAAAATTGCTTTATGATCAGCATAATAAAAAAAAAAAAGTAATTACTAGTAGACAAAAAAACAATCTGCTGTTTTTAGAACCAAATGAAAGGTACTGTGTAGTGTTCTACACATCGAGACATGGCTATGAGTTTGCATTCAATGGACATCTCTAGGGAAAACAAAACCCTACAAAAGGCATCTTATTTCTTTAGGGTCTCCCTTAGAGAAAACGTCTTCAGACCTCAATTAAACAGTCGATTCAAGTAACAAATGAAACTGTTTACAAAAGGAGGTGAAAAAATAAAGAAGCTAATTAAGAGATATATATACATTTATGTCTCACTGTATAATTTAATTTCTACCTACATATTTATTCATTGTATTTCGGGGGGTAATTCATTAAATGCTTATTAATTTATTGAGCATGTATTTATTTTTATACATGGGAGAGCTGTTCCTCCATACCTAAAAAATTTTATCTGGGCAAATAAGCCTTAAAACATCTGAACACGTACTTTTTATCAGAGGATTCAACAAGTTTTATAATCTCTGAAGATAAGGCCACGGTGTGGTAGCGACAGTTGGCTGCTCTTCTCGCTCTGCTCCTGTCTCCTCCTCCATCCTGTGTGTGTGGCTCTGTGTGTCTGTGGGTGTCATCCTTTGAGTTCCATTGCCGTGCGCATGTTTCATAGACACAGACAGGAGAGGCAGAATAGAGGCTCATGCGTGAATATCCAGCAAATAACTCCCATTGTTGTTTCAAAAATAGAAAACCTGCTTTCATTACTTAGTTTTGCCCTGGATTTTGTAGCGTTTGTGGACGCTACGTTGCTACTTGATAAAAACAATAACGTCACTACAGGAAAGTTACTTGATAAATAAAGCAGCGACGCTACGGTCAAGCTACTGGAAAATGTAGTTAAACTAATAGCTTCGCTACATGTAGCGGCGCTACTGCCCATCACTGGGTTTTGGCTCATTATGTGGGGAGGTTCAGTTTTTATCCCAGTAAGCCTGACTCCAGGGAGGAGACCAGTTTAAAGTTCCTGCATCAAGTTCTGGTTCCACGTCCTGTCTCGGCTACCCTCTTCCACTGAGCCTGCTCATCTGCACCTGATCCTGTCTGCTCCTGTGCGTGACCGTCTGGCCACGCTACAGAACTCAGTCTGACTCTGAATCTGTCTGGGAGCTCTGTTATTGCTTGGAAGCCTGGCTCCTGCCTCCTGTTCTGTTCCTGTCTGATCTGCAACCTGTTCTGTCCTTTCCTGCCTGATCTGTATCCCTGATCAGGATCGGCTTCCTGCAACTCCTCCGGAGCTGCAGCACCGGGGACACTCTGGGTGATGCGAGCCGCGTCAGCTGTCAGCCCATCGGCTGGATTGCACCCCTCTCAAGGGGTTTGGACTGAACTGCTAAACCAGGTAAGTGACTCACTGAGAACATCATCTTCAGTCAGATGATCGTGGTCACTTACCTGTGTTTCTCCTTATAGTGTCTGAGATTGGACGGTGCCACCCCCCTCCTGCAGTGTCTGTGAGCCTCAGCTCCACTTCAGTTTTGTTCATTTAATAAACGTTTTGAACTTTCCTACTGACTGTCTCTCTTGAATACTGGGTCCATCTGTTCTCGCTCCATGACACCAAGGGTGTAACTTTGTAATGAAAGTTGGTGGGGACACTCTAAGGGTGGGGGGTGATGGACCTACAGTTACTCCACCCGAACATTTTCAATAGGGATTTTGTATTTTCCAAAAATGAGCTCAAACATATATTTATTGAATGCTTTCCTATTGTTGAGAACACAAGAGAACCATAATAAACAGATATTTATATTTATAGATCGTTAGAGAGATGCCTTTTAGTGTGTTACATATATAGGGCCCAAAAACATTCATGTAAAAAAAAAACAATGGATAACAGCCGATTCCGATGCCAAAATCGATATATCATACATCCCTAGAAGTACAATTTCAATTCCATCCGTCCAGAAAAATATGGATATGCTGTATTTTAAATATAGCATAGCATAATTGTTTCTTGTAAACTTTCTGGTAAATTTGGAGATATATTTTATTGCATGTTGCAAGTCCCAGTAAATCTAATTTTTAAACCTTTAAATCTGCAGCTCTCCCTACTTCTCTCTGTGCTCTGTTTAAAAAGATATATGAACCTCTTTACTAATATAATGATGCCAGAAAAATATTTCAAGATGTGCAGAAGCTCTGTAGTCTGATGCTGTCTGAACAATAAGAAAACATGTTCTTTTAAGCTGTAACTGGGAGTCATGGTCCTCTGAGAAGCCAAGCTTTTTTTAATAAAGAACAACACAAAATTTAAACTATGTTTTCTCAAGCTTCTTGCATTATAATACTAACTTGTATAAACTTATAATCTGTTGCCATTTTTAACTGAAACAGCACAGAATGTCTAACGAACAGATTTTTCGGTGGCATCTCTCATTTTTTTAACAAACCCGTCTCCTAACTTTTACTTAAACATCAAAGTACCGGTAGCTGCTGGTTAATATTCACTAAGTGCTGCTGTGTGTCTCTCCTCTAACTACATGGCTACTATGCAGTGAAATCAGTTGCCTCAAAGTGACAGATCCAATGATGTTTCACCGAGACAGGAGAAGTGAAAGATAGGAAGAAAAACACTGACTGAAAATGCTCTGAATACAGTTAGCTGAACCCAACCTCTGTTACCTTTGGCTAAAGTAAATGAGTGGAAAGGGGGGAAAAAAGCGGAGATTATTGATGGGGACATGTCCTTAAGAAAGGTATGCCTAGTGAAGTGTACTAAAACAATAACTGCTGCCTTGCAGCAAGAAGGTTCTCGGTTTAATTCCCAGCCTGGGGTCTTTCCGCATTGTGTTTGCATGTACTCTCTGTGCAATGCGTGGGTTCTCTCCGGATACTCCGGCTTCCTCCCACAGCCCAAAAACCTGATTGTTAGGTCAAATGGCATCCTTAGGTATGAGTGTTTGCAAGAATGGTTGTTTGTCTCTGTGTTGCCTGGCGACTTGTCCAGGGTGGACCCCGCCTTTTGCCCATTTACAGCTGGCAATAGGCACCAGCACTCCTCACAACCCCAGCAGGGATAAGGGTGACAGAAAATGGACGGATGGAAAATAAAGAAGGGTGTTTCTGTTCTAAGAACTCCTCTAGAAATCTCTGGATATTATTTTTTTAAATAATTATTCATATATATGCAGATAATTATGGAGAACCTACATGGATACATGTACATAGTTTCTTTAATGAGGGATAAATAAATTTAAAGTTTAAGTTTGAATTTAATTTCATTAAAAACTATTTTATCCAATCCATTTGTCTTAAAAAAAAAAAAAGGAAAGAGAAGGTAAACATCTGGTTTAAGTTGTGTTTCAGGTTCAGATTTATGAATAACATTTTTATTTTATTTCCATGGAACTTATCAGGAGATGCAGGCTGATTCAAAGTCAGCAGTGAAATGTGGAGTTTCGTGTTTATTAGAGGTTTTACGGTCATTAAGGTCTACCTCACTTCCACCTGGAATTTACCGGAAGCAAACCAAAATAAGACTGGTGGGATGCTGACTTCCATCCTCCCATCTCCTCGGGAAACCAAAAACTTGACTTCTGTTGAGTGTTTTAACTCCCCCAGCGGGATGTCTTTCCCCTCAGCTTTCAGTGCGCAGGTGGCCGCCATTATGGACGCTCTGGCCAAAGCTGCTGCGGCTGAAATATCGATGCTATTGGAGGAGGGCAGCGTGGCTCTGCGGCTGGAGGTGAGCAGGAGGGACAGTGAGATACAAGAGCTGCGGAGCAGCCTGAAGAGGATGGATGCTGAGCTCCAGAAAGCGCAGGAAGCTGCTGCGAGGCGAGTTACAGCCGAGAAGCAGGTGCAGACCCAGGAGCCGTGGAGAGGTGAGGAACCGGAAGTGGACACTCAGCGCACCGAACTGCGTTTAAAACAGCTTCAATTCACACTTTTAACTGATAAACAAGATCCCCTTAACTGTAAACTTAGAAATGAACGCTCTGAAACGATTGATACTTTCTCCTGTTTAATTCGTCCAACGAGAGAGACTATATTAGGATAAAAAAAGAATAGAAATATCCTTTATTTGGGGTAAAACTATGCCTGTCAGTGGCAAAGCCAATATGCAAAAAGAGCATAAAGGTGCTATATGCTAAATGTTTGCTCCTATTTTAGTTTAATGTTGTTATATAAACAAAAAAATTGTTTAGGTTTTTAACCCTTTATAGTGCACTCAGTAAAATATCAAGCTAATAGTGTTATTGGAATCCAAGACCTTATTACCATGGTAACATAAAAAAAAATATGGATATTTTGATGGCAACAATTAATGTCAATGTAATAACAAAAAACGCCAACTTACCCGAATATATTTAGAAAAATAACAAAATTGCTTCTATAAGAAATTCATGAAAAACACTCTGAGAACAAAAGATACTTTTTTTTTTTTTTTTTTTGGTACAACATAACCTTATAGGCATTAATGCTGATACTGGGGCTTACATTTTTTTTTGTTTATAAACCTAAATATAATTGTTAACTAGGCTTATTAACTTTTTAATTTTACTTTTTAACTTTTCAATTAGCTTTTTACCTTTTTTTCTTGACTTGTTAACTTTTTTCCCCAACTTAATTAACAGTAGGTAATATATCATTCAAGGGCTCATCAATTGGTCAAATGCCAAAATAAGATGTACAGCCATGTAGCAGTATCTTTGCTGAATATGGCTGGATATAGATTTTGTGCTTCTAGACGTCACTGAGGGACGGGGGGAGGGACTCCATTTATAAGGGGTAGGCAAGTGATCAAAAATGCTAACTTGCCCTATAAAGCGGAGGTCTTCAACAGGGGGTCCGCGACCTCTAGGGGGTCCATGGAGGTACTGCATAGGGGTCGCAAAAGTTTTGGTTGATTAGACTTTTCTTTATATTCTCCCCTGCAATTTTTTTATACTAATTGAAATTTCTTTAAATCCACATTAACATGAATTCAAATCACTATAGTAAACAGATAAATGGAGGCAGAAGATGTCTTTCAGTCATCAATGCACACATTCAGCGACACACAGGAGCTCTTTCAAGCTGGACACCGTTTCATTCACAACACCTGTCCCATCAACCAGGAATCAGAATCAGAAAAACTTTAATAATCCCAGGGTGAAATTACTTTCCTTACATTACTCCATCTGTAATAGAGTGACTATAGGACCAGATTGATAGAACACAATTTCATAGAATATATATAATTAGGGGGTCCCCGCTCCATCTCTTCATCAGTTTGGGGTCCTTGGCCTGGAAAACTTTGAAGACCCCTGCCATAAAGGGTTAATATAATCAATACAGTCATATAATATTAGGGAAGATACAAACATTTAATTAGGAAAAAGTAAAGACTGATTCAAACATGTATTCTGGGTAAGGAAAATAGCAAATATTTTGGTTTTCTTACAACTGAAATAACTTCAGTGATACTCTGCTTGAAGCCAGCTGACAAACTTTGACATCTATGTGATAAAATTTCTCAACTTTTTATGAGATATTTGTGGGATTTCTTCATGCATAGAGTGGAATCCATGATGTGGTCACCTGGATCTATACTGTTACTGCAAAGCTTCACTGAATCATGATTCATCCTAAAATGCTGTGTTCCAGATAGAATCTGTTACATTTTAGACTCCTCTGTCCAGAAAACATTAATCCTAATGATCATCCTTTTGCAGTCAGACATTGTTGGTAATAACACATGTTATTACAAACACTATTCTGCTGGAGGTCCCATGATGACATGTTTTTTTTATTTTTTAAAGTAAGCCTCTTGATGAACTTGATTATTAGACTGTGGTATTTTTGTCCTTATTTTGAATGCTTTGTTTTTGTATTTTTATTTTTCTTCTTTCAAAAATGGTAGAGATGAAATGCATTTACCCAGTTTCATAGGTGTAGAGGAAGATAATTAGGGCCACTGTTTTTTTTTCTCTGAATTTTGACTTTTTTTTCTTAGAATTTTGACATGTTTTTTCCTCATAATTCTGACTTTAATCTCAAATTCTCACTTTTCTCAGAATTCTGACTTTAATTTCAGAATTGTGGATCTTAATGTAGATGGGCACCATGAAGCAAGAAATGTGGTAGCTCTCAGCTTCACTGACAAAGATGTGAGTTGTTTGGGAGGGCCCGTAACACATTTGTGGAAAATGATGGAATTAGGTGAGTTTTTATCTGCCCGAGGGGTCACTGGTGATGCTATTTCATTAATGGACGAGCAGACGGTGATTAAAACCAGAGGGCTAATCTTTAAAACAGACATGGCTGTCAGAGTAAAGTCAGAAAGTGCCCCTCAGGAACGTAAAAACGTGGGGTCTTAAAGGCAGAATTCTGAGATTAAAGTCAGAATTCTGAGAAAAAAAAGTCAGAATTATGAGATTAAAGCAGGAATTATAAAAAAAAAAGTCAGAATTTTGAGAAAAAAGTCAGAATTCTGAGAAAAAAAAGTCAGAATTTTGAGAAAAAAATCTGAATTATAAGATTAAATTATAAGATTAAAGTCCGAATTCTGACTTTTTTTCCATATTATACTGAAATAAAATTTAAAAATCTGTTAACTTTCTTTAATTTTTTCAGTGGCCCCAATCCTCAACAGATACAGGAAATAAACATAGATATTTTTAATCAGAATACCGTATGTTTTTTGCTGTGATGATTAGGGCTGCAACAACGAATCGATAAAATTGATAAAAATCAACTTTTAAAAGCGTTGGCAACGAATTTCATCATCGATTAGTTGTGTCGCGCGATTAATGCGTCATCCGCCGCCGCCGTCATCACATCCACTTGACCGAAACGGGGGAAGAAAAAAAAATACGGCAGAGCGAGCAAGCGTGCAGTGTTGCCAACTCGGCGACTTTTCAGACCCCTCCAGCGACTATTTTTCAAAAAAGCGACTAGCGACAAATCAGGCAACTTTTTACGGTGTCACTGGAGACTCTTACGTGAAAGCATGTATCATTCCTACTCTGCCGTGGGGCGCCTCCCCCATCCCAGCCCCGTTCACCAGCTCTCGCAGGAGTCCCTCTCAGCACTGCAGTCAGCGCCGCAGGATGCTTACCCTCTATGAAGGACCAACTCTGCCATATTTAAAAATAAATACAAATATAAATTGTTGGCCATCTTCTTAACTCACAGAGCTCAGAGTACTAAGTTAAATGTTCTCTTTTCTGTTGCTGTTGTTCAATAAAAGTACGTTTTAAGATCATTTGAGGCGAGAACCTTATACTTTTAAGCATCACCATATGGCCCATTCACAGATTTAATGCGTAATTTAAAAGAAAATGTGACGAACTTGAGAGGACCGTGGCAACCAGCGGAGCTCCGAAGCTGACGGCAGCCAGGTCTATAGCCAGGCTATGATGGCGATTTTTTGTTGTATTTGGCAAAGTTTGGCAAAGTCCCTACTCAAGTTCTAATGACTTCAGACTCGACATCAGACTCTCCTCCTGTAGATTCGACCGATGTACTAAAATGCTGACCAACACGCTTCACACACGGCTATGCTGAGAGAGGGCCGCTGCAACAAAAAATCACCATCATAGCCAGCGATTCTTCACACACGGCTATTCCGAGAGAGGGCCTCTGCAGATGTGCTGTGGTTAGACCTGGCTGCCGTCAGCTTCGTAGCTTTGCTGGTTGCCACGGTCCTCTCAAGTTCGTCACATTTTCTTTTAAATTACGCATTAAATCTGTGAATGGGCCATATGGTGATGCTTAAAAGTATAAGGTTCTCGCCTCAAATGATCTTAAAACGTACTTTTATTGAACAACAGCAACAGAAAAGAGAACATTTAACTTAGTACTCTGAGCTCTGTGAGTTAAGAAGATGGACCGCCAAGCCAACCAATGAGCAGAAGTTGACTCTCTAGGACACACCCCCTCCTCATTTGCATAATGAGACAGAAATGCATAGAGAAATGTAAAAAGGGCAGAGAGAAATGTAAAAAGGGCAGAGAGAAATAAACAGCGGCGAAGAAATAACTAAGGTAAAAAAATACAAAGGAAGAATACAACAGACAAAAATATTATAACATGCACACAAATAAATACTATATAATAAGAACTATATATAAGAACTATACTATATATAATAAGTAATTAAAAAGTAATTAAAAAATAAAGTTGAAGATTATAAAGGACAAAAAATAAATAAGGTAAATATTACAAAGGCAAATAAATAAAGAAGCTAATTAAGAGTTATATACATTTAAGTCTCACTTTTTTGTTGGCAATGAACTGTATGCTTATACATTTATTGAGCATTTATTTATTTCTGTATTTATTTTTAAATATGGCAGAGTTGGTCCTTCATAACCCTCAGCGTCCAGACTGCAAATGAAGCGCGCATGCACCGGGATTGACGGCGCAAATTGATCACAATAATTAAAATAGCCTGCGCTTTGTAAAGTGAAAAAAGTGATAACATGCAACTTTTTTCAAAAGAAATTAACATGGCACGGAACCATCATGTTTGTTTGGTTTTAAAGTGGGGAAACGTTACGTTAGTTTCTCAGGTAGCTCATCTGATGCTTTCCTTACCGTGTTAGTAGGTTACAGACAGTGATAAGGTTGGCTACTTATTTTACTTTTAATTTCATTTGAATTAGCTTAAGCAGCGTTTATATTTACTTTATAAATAAATTAACTTGCAAATTATCAAATTATCACACTCAAATTATCAGTGTGTGAGTGTGTGTGTGAATGGGTGAATGAATGTAGTGTAAAGCGCTTTGGTCAAGTCTCCTAACTTGAATAAAGGCGCTATATAAGTACATGCCATTTGCCATTTACCATTATGAGGGCAAGGATTTTAAAGTTTAAATCTACTGGCAAAGATAAAGTAAAGAAGATCCTGAAATTTATGGAAGTAAAGCAGAATAAAATCCAGCAAGATCAGTAATATGTCAATTAATTATATGCCACATTCCCATGTAAATATCTGTCTTTGGAGGATGTGTTTTTTAGCACCCCTAGTTCTCTCATTTTTATTCCAAATACAATTTATAATTTGAATCACAGGGCTATTTTTATCTCTATGGTTCAGTATTTTCTCAAGTAGCATATTTAACTGCTATACTTTCCTGTCTTAAAAGGCAGAACTCTTCTAGTCTAAAAAAAACTCATTTGTTGAAATGGGGGGCCTATTGTTTGAGCCCCTTAGGGGCTTTTAAAAACAAAAATGTCTTTTTTTGCGCTTTATGAAACAAAGTAGCCTATATTTTGTGGATGTGCAGCTACATTTCTCATGTAAGTTTGCGTAGTTTTAACACAAACATTTATTTTTCATATTGCACCAGTACAGTTAATGAGCAACCTGTACTTGTGTGCTTGTTTGTTCTGTCTAAAATGTTTATTTTGGAATAAAGAGGTTAATATAAAAAATATTTTTTGTCCGATTCATCGATTAATCGAAAAAATAATCGGCCGATTCATCGATTTTTAAAATAATCTTTAGTTGCAGCCCTAGTGATGATAAAAGCCAAACAAACTGTATTAAAAAAAAAATAAAAATCATTGAACATTATTGTTCAAATAGATGTCAGTGTTTGTGCCGTTTCAGATTGACTGCATATGCTGTGCTTTTCTTTTGGCTGCAGAGATAAAGGAACATGAAACAGATGGAGCATACCCTGAAGAACAACCTGCTGCTTCCCTTTGTGAGCCTCACATCAGTCCAGCTGTGAAACAAGAAGTTGAGCTTCACTTCGATGAAACAGCCGAGCACGCAGCGAGAGACGCAGCAAACGGAGGCGACCCCATCTGGCCCGTCTGTGATGTGTTTGAGAACAGCTCTGTCGCCCTCCAGCAGCAGATTTTTCCCTCTAATGTCGAAGAGTATCCTTCCTCCAGAGACGTGCAGAGTTCATATCCATCCTCGGCAACCGAAGGAGCAGACGACTGCTTTACGCTGCCCATAAAAGCAGAGATCTCTGCGCTTCCTGAGTCTGGTTACACAGACACTTTGCATGGTGGCGTCATCCAGGGGGGTTGTATGGAGTCTGCAGGACCGTCAGCAGCTTTGCCTCATGCCCAGGAGTCCACAGCAGGAGCATCAGAAGCAAATGAAGAAAATATTAACAACAAAATCAACGGCAGACCAAAAAGATTAATGACTGCGTGGAGAGCAAATCAGAGCGTCTACATCTGCTCAGTTTGCAACAAGGGTTTCCTTCGCCTGTCTCAGCTGGAGGAGCACAAGAGCAGCCACCAGTCCTCCAAACCTTTCAGGTGCCTTGAATGTGGGAAGTCTTTCACCCAGAAGACCCGGCTAAAGACGCACCAGAGGGTCCACACGGGAGAGAGGCCGTTCAGCTGCAGCATCTGCGGCAAGAGGTTCTCCAGGCAGGATAACTGCATGAGGCACGAGCGCTTCCACAGCGGGCTGAAGCCGTTCAGCTGCAGGCAGTGCGGCAAGAGCTTCACTGTGCTGGGAAACCTCAAAATCCACCAGGTTATCCACCTGCGGGGAAGGTAGCGCTTAAAACCAACTTTTAGCAGTTTAGCAGAAAATGTCGACTTTATTTATTAAATGTAATAATAATTTACAATGCAGAAATCAGATTCAGACGAGGAATGGACAATATGTCTGCAATCTTTTAAAAGAAAGGTTTAGATAAGGAATAAAAGGCAGATTTTTGTCTTGATTTTAGTCGATCCTGTTGATGTATAACCTTGTTTTGTCTGGATGTTGCTCATTATTGACTTTTTAAATACACGGATTTCATTAAAAACCTTTAGTACTTTGTAAAGCTTTGGTCTCAGTGCTTTTTCTCTTAATATAGACTTTCCTTTCCAACCCTTTTTTTCCCCATTTCTGGGTTTATTGTCGGGTTTATTTTCCCGGTTTTCCAGGTTTATTGTTGACATTCATATTGTGAATTTCTACTGAGTTGCATCATTAATGGCTGGGATTTTATTTAGATCTGCGATAGAAAAAAGGGGAAAATGAGAAGTAACTCAGAGAAATATCTCGTAATGTAGTTCCTTATCATAGATTTTTTTTTTTTTTCTGGCCTCGAATTTAATTCTCAAAAGTCTTCTATTTGAATCTTAATTCCCCCCTTTAGACAAAGAAAAAACTCCTACTTTAATAATTAATATTTTTAACCCAAAATATGAACATATTTGTGAATAGTGATAATTATTGCCTATTAAAATAGGTGAGGTGTGGATGATTACCGTAATTAATAATTTGTTTTTATTGTTAACAACTGAGAAAAAGATAAAGAAAATAAGAAATATTTCCTGTCTTAAACTTTACAGTTTTTGCATGAATGATTGAACCTTGTCGAGCTTCAGCTAAGGGGAGTGGCAGCCTGGTGGTTAGAACATGGAATCCAGAGGTTCTGAGTTTGATCCCCACTCCCACAGACTGCCACTCTAAGTCCCTGAGCAAAGACTCTTAACCCCAAACTGCTCCCTAGGCGCCACAAAATGGCAGCCCACTGCTCCCCAAGGGGATGGGTTAAATGCATAGAGTGAATTTCATTGCTCTTAACTTGTGACAGTTTAATGACAATTTTTTTTTATTTAAACCTTTTTTTTCCCTCTTTCGCATATTTTCTAGCAATTTTTTTTTATACTTTTGCAAATTACAAAAATGTAATTTTGTAATTACCCACATTTTCTGTGATATGTATTCGTATTACATGTATATATTGGAATAAAATAATCCTTTACTAATAAAAAATGGCAAAAAGCCATTTTCAATTAGAAAATGGGATTTTATTATGTTATTTATGAAGTTTTTTTACATGATGCATCCTTCAAAATAAAAATACTTTAATGCTATCTCCAATGAAGACAGTTTTCCTGTCTTTTTTTTTTAAGCTTCCAAGCTTTATTTCCAAAGTCATATTATAAAAAATATTTTAATTAAAAAAGTGAAACTTATGTAGGGTACAGAATCCTTAACAACAACCTGATTATATTTGAGTTTTTAATTCTTTTAACTTGTATCAGTGGTTATGGCTGAAAAAAATAAATAAAAGGAAATGAATAAACCACTTCTGTGAAAATTTGAATTTCGTAGAAGACTCGTAATAATAGAAGCCTGCTGGCCACAAAATATCTCTGCTAAAGGAACTGGCTGTTTTTTCAATTCTTAGAAGAACAGCCAGACCTCAGAAGATTGAGGTCAAAGCAAAGTGCAGTCTGAAAACACATGAGGGGAAGTTGATTGTAATGGTGGGGACTGCAGCAGGAGCTACTGCTTCTATACGCACTAAGATTCTATTGTAATCCTTGGAAATAAACACCTATTTACAGATTTCTGATTGAATTATCTCAGTGTCCTTAATGCTTCTTCACTACACTTTATTAAGGACTCTTACCAGAACTGGAAATTGAGCAATTGCCTATTAGAGATAAAAAATGTGACAATCATTTTATAGGGACAGCCTTTAAATGTTAAACCTTTCATCATTTTACTGGAATGACAAAAATTCGAATAATTAATGATTCAGGTAACAGGAAAATATTTTAAATATTTGAAATGGCAAGAATGACATTGCGAAGCATTTATCCGACATGGTCAATATTGTTATAATAATGGGAAGATATCATGAACCTTCATTAATAAGTTTCAAAAACGAACTCAAAATATTATATTCATCTTTATCTCTGTTAAAGGTACACTTTGCAACCGGTGTTGATTTTCCAGTGAGGCTCCCCCCAGAGGGCGAAAGTAAAAGTGCACTGTCGTAAATATGCACAGCTGTTCTCCTGGTTTCTCCGTCAAGCCAGGCGCGGTTGTTTTGAGCTTAGCAGACAGGCGAACGCAACGAATGACTAATGCTGCGTTCACACCGCAGCTGGCGCGACAGAAGCAGCGAGTTTACATGTCAAGTCAATGGTTGACGCGCGTCAAGGCGCAGCAAAAGGTCCCGCAGCGCGTCTGAGCAGCTGAAGCAGCGCGTCGTTTAATCATCTGACGCAGGGAGAGAGACACAGCGCTGATGATCACTCCTCTTAAACAGTTTATTGACGCCTAAATTAACTTAAAATGCAGAAATCTGCCGGCAGAATATGCAGTTTGGATTATTTAGATGAAAAACACCTACCAGCTGCTGCGGTGAACCACGAGGAGGCGACCCGGCCAGAGGCTGCTGATGAAGGAATTCCTTCTGTCGGCGCACCGCTGGTATGTGGGGGTCTGAGCTGCTCCGACAGAAAAAATATTGAAGGCAGGATAATAATCTGAATGAACTGACGGCACTGATTACGTTTTCAGGTGTATTTTCTCACTTAAACACATATTAAAACTACTTTATTCCCACTGATCACAGCAAATATAGCTGCAAGGCAGAGAAAGGATAGTGAAGCTCCGCCCAACACGCGTCAGACACACTTTAACACCGCGCAGCCAGAGCAGCAAAGCTGCTTCAGCCGTGCGTCAGAACTAACTGGTACAAGCAGTAAAAATTAAGCAGCAGAAGCGATTTTGCTGCGTGAACGTAGCATAACTGCACAAAGATCGCCACTGTGCTAGCGACGAGAATGCTTTTAACTGGGGGGTGTAGCAGTTCTCGCCGTAAAGCAAGACTGACTCTCGCGAGACTTCTGAGCCTGTGGGTGCGGGTCGGTGCTCCTGCAGTTGCAAGTGCGGTATTTCCCCCACAGACCACCAGGGCGGCCGAGAATACCTTTGTTCAACCTGAAATGACTCATTTAATCATCCAAAACGTTATGGAACACATTAATTAACTGAAAAATGTTGCATAGAGTGCCTTTAACTGACATTTATGGACATATACAAAAACTATGTAGTGACATGTCAAAATTTCATTTTTTTTTTGACTCAACAAAATACTAGTTAACATCATGCAATGAATTGACTTGTTGCAGAATGAGTCTGTCTCTTTTATTTTAATGTAATTTTTTTTAAGTTTTGTATGTTTCCATTTGTTCTATTACTGCCTGTTTATTTATTTATTACAAGTTAATTTGATCTCCTGTAAATAACTGTTATTTTCTCTTTTTTGTAAGAAAGAATAGTGGAGATTCCTACTTGAAATGTAAACTAATGTTTTTTTGATCAATACAGTAAAACAAAAAAGAAGAAAAAAAAGACGCTTACCCTACCTTAAAAGAGTTGCGTCTTTCTTCTACACTTTACGGTATTCTTGTTGTCATCACTTCCGTAAAGCAAGAGCTCGCGTTGTTTATGTCCTCTGATGGCACCAAGTAACTGTTGCTAGCTTAAAAGCTGGCTTGATAAAAATGACAAACAGATTAAATGGAAGGAGAGGTGGTTGGTGAGCGCTTAGCGGGCCTAACATCGCTCTTTACCTGCAAGCAGGAGACCTGAATCCAGCCGCTTCTTCCTCTCTTTTCTCTTTTTTGTAAAGTTTAGCCCCATTTTTTCAGGGATTCCGTTCATTATGCTGAACGGCGTGGCTCTGCGCTCCCAGATCGCCTCCGTGATCGATGCTCTGGCCAAAGCAGCCGTGGCGGAGATCTCCAAAGTGGTGGAGGACGGGATGGTGGTGCTGCGGCTGGAGATGTGTCAGCGGGAGGATGAGATCGAGAGGCTGAAGAGCAGCATGGAGGTCCTGCATGGAGAGCTGAGGGCGGCGCGGCAGGCGGAGAGCCGGCGGCCCCCGGAGCTCCGCGGAGCAGACGGTGAGAAGAAAACACATCAGACATGTCAGAAATGATTTATTCATAAGTTAAAACTACTCTAAGACACATCTACATCTCTGAATCAAGGTTTTAGATCATTTCCTCCATGCATTTAAATGATCTGTGTCTTATAGAGGATCTAATGTGAGATCAAGTGGAAAATAAAATGTTTTTTTATCTGTATAGAAAGAAAAAATTCTACAAACATGCTTTCCATGTTTCCATAACCAGTTTGAGTTTATATTGTTATTTGTTTTAGGTCCTGTTCTAAATCAGCTTCATCAAGCCTCCTTTATGGAGTGATATCAGCTGCACTGAAAAAATATCTTGATAATAGTAAAAAATTTCTTTAATTAAGTTTATTTACCCTTAATTTCAGTAGGTAAATGAGGTCGTTTGCCATGGTTAGGGTATTTCTACTCTTAAAATAAGATAATTAGATAACATCCACTTGAAATAAGGCAATGCAGTAGTTTTTTCTTATTTTAAGTGTAAATGATCTTGTTCCATTTGCAAAATTTCTCTTCAATCCAAGAACAAATGCACTTATATTAAGAAAAAATGGCTTATCTACATTTTGATTATTTCCAGTGATGCATTCCCTTTATCTTCTGCAGCAGATGGCCCAGTTTTAGTTTCCTCTTTCATATCTCATGCAGGAGCAGATGAGTCTTTAAAGGGTCAACAAACATTTTGAAAGGATGGGCACTATATGTGGCTCATATCACTCTCTGTGACTTAATCTCAGTTTAGCAAAAATGAAACAAATTAATGTGTGAAATATCTTCTTTTTTCCACCCATTCTTTTGTTTAGACTCTTCCATTGTAGCAGCAGCTGTTCTGTTAGGGTCATTGTCCTGCCTGAGGGGGAAACTCCACCCAGTCTGAAGTATCTCTAAGATGTTCTTGTCGAGTCTCCTTGAGGCTTTCTCTTGACAGCAGCTTAGGGGTTTGCTGCTCTTTGATTCAGCCCAGATTGTTGGGGATTCACAACTTTCCTTTCAGCAGCTCTTCCTACCTGAGCTGTGACTCTCTACAGCTCCTCCAGTTACCATTGCTACTTTAAAGGAAGTCCGGTCAGCAATGAATGATCAGTGGATCGTTATTTATACCTAAAACTAATAATTTTGCAGTGATTTAATGGATTTAGCATTAATCAGTAAAAAAATGAGAACAATAATTTTCGTTGCGATCCCTGAGGCCAGGAGCCACCATTTTTGCTCAAATATAGTATCTCCTCCTTACATCTTCTGGCAGTGACGTCACGGTGCGGTAAGCCTAGCGCCATTCTCCCCGCTTTACAAGCAAAATCAATGGGAACGACTAGACACATCTGCAATCAACAACAATTATTGAAGATTTCCAGAGGACTTCACCATTGAAATTCACCAGAGCTATAGTGAAACTGACAATGCCCATGTGCATGGTAGTCAGATGTTGGGATACATCGGGTAAAAGAGAAAAGAAATTAGTTATTTCACCTTTCTTATTCCTGATCCTCCACGGACGGGTGCGTCGTTGGATTGCCAACTTGAAGAGGGAGGATTTACCATCAAACTTCTAGCCAGAGAATAAACACGTAATATGTAGCCAACATTTGGAAGAAGAATGTTTTCAAGATGACTTGGATAATAGCGCGTTGTGACAAACACCAGATACAGCACTGGGACTTGATCAACAGCCGATACCGCACTGTGACGTCACAAGGTGGCAGTAGTGTTCTTTGACAAACATGGATGCCTCCAATAAAGCACATTCAAATGAGAAATATTTTTAAAAACATTTATTGAAAAGCATGTAATAATTTCATATTTAAAGTACTTTAAAAAGTTTGAATTCTGAATATGAGCGGACTTTTTCTTTAATCTTACTATTGGATTGGTATGAAGAAGCCTGTTAAATGTCTCCACATCGTAATGACCCACCTGTCTCCTTTGTTCCTAATGATGATGCTGTTAGTTTGCTAAATTACACTCAGATTGACTCCTTCTAATAATTAAATGACCCCATGTATAATAAAGTAGGTGGCTCTTTGTATTGAGTATGAATAATGTGAAAGAAGCTGAATAAGTAGGGTATAGAAAAATGGTGAGTTTGTTTTCTTTTTATCAAATGCAAATGTCTTCAACTCACTTTTAATCCCCAGGCGTCCAATAAGGACAGAACTGTACTGGAACAACCAGTTTATGCTTTGTTGATTTAGTCAGAGGAAACCTAATGGATTCTCCAGGGGCCAATGTTTATTACCAGAGGGGGATTTAACCATTAGGCAATACTAGGCAGTTACCTAGCACCCCAAGTTCCTGGAGGTCCAATAAAAACTCAGTTTACATGTATATTTAATACAACTATTCCTTATTTGTGCACATTTATTAAGTTTTTAATAAAAATTATTTTGCTAAAATGCCATCAGAACGCAGAATGTCCATTTGCTGCACATGTTCAGAAAGGTCCAAACAGACCAGAAAAAGCAGCAAACCATTTGAAAACAAACTGTTGCCAACTTAGCGTATTTGTCGCCATATTTTTCAGACCCCTCTGCTTTTATTTCCAAAAAGCGCCTAGCGCCAAATCTAGCGACTTTTTTCTGCTACTGGAGACTTTGGCAACAACATATAAAAGCAGCAAACTCTGCTCTCCAGAGCAAGTAGATTGGTAACCCCGCCTCCTGCTCTCCTCTATCTTGTCTGCTGTCATGATTAATGCAGCTATTATTTCATCCAAATGAAAAATGGAGAACAGATAAGCAGATCATGGCTTGTCTACAGTGAAAAGAAGGACTGTGTTATTTAGTTTGGCCGTCGTCTTTTTGGAAACACAGGAAGGAGCAATCAGCTAAGTGAGCTTAGTGCTTGGAAAATTCCTTTTGAGACAGCATGGAAAGTCAAGTCATAAGTACAAAACATAGAGAGGAAAACAAGAAGAGATGGACAAAACGTAGAACAAATAATGCATGTCTATTCTATTAACATTTTTGTATCTGTATAACGGCTCTGTTTTATATGTTGTCTTCTCAATTCATGCCTGTCTTTGCTTAGGGCCCAAAATTTCCTAAATCCACCCCTGTTTATTTCATGCAGGTATCAATTTAAACCTCAGCAGTAAATAATAGAATAGATGATGGATACCAAACTACTGCGATACTGGATGGTATAAGCAAAATACAATGAACACGATTACCCAACATAGACTCAATGCTGGCCGTGCTAAAGGTGCAATAAATCACCTCAGTTTCATTTTAGTTTCCTCTTTTATTTTTTTTACAGAAAGTCATCAGGGTGTTGGAAATGAGCAGATCTTGCCTGAAAAGGCTCCCTCTGATGAAAAGCACAGCCTGCCATCCGTACCTGAAGTACAGGTGAAATGTGAACCCGTGGAGCAGAGAAGTGAGGACAGCAGAGCGCCGCTGGAAGGGTCTCTGTACGGAGGAGGCCAGTGGAGATCAGGGACACAGAAGGAGGCCGGAGGCAGCAGCTCTGACTACCTAAGTTTAGGTCAGAACTCCTTCTCCTGTCTCTCTGAGCCTCCTTTGGACGGCGGCCTGGTCTTGTCCTGCGGCACGTCGGGCGGGTTTCCGCAGAGCCCGTTCAGCCGAGGGCTTATGGGTTACAACCAGTACAGGAACACGGTTCGGAGGCGAACGGTGAAGAGGCTGATGTTCAAGAAAGGCTTCATCTGTCCGTACTGCGGCAAATGCTTCGAGCGCGCCGGGCACCTCGAGAGACACAAGAGGATTCACACCGGCGAGAAACCGTACCGCTGCGAGATCTGTGGACGGCGGTTCAATCAGAAGTGCAGCCTTAAGGAGCACATGAAGATTCACAGAAGAAGTAAGTAAAACGCAGCATTATTCAGAACAGTTTGGCCACTTTCCAGCCATGATTATCTATAAAACTTGTCCCACTGCTTCGTCTAAACCAGTTTGATTTCCCACAGCCAACAGAGAGCCATGCCTTCAGGTTATTTAAAAGCCTCGCTGCATCAAGTTAGAGAAAAAAGCAAAGAATAAATCACAATAACGGTTTTAATTGCGGCTTAGTTGCATCTGTTCTCTCATTCTTGTTCTCCTATTATTATGGTTGTTCATCCACTTCTGTTTTTGATCCCAGACGATAAATTCTGTATAAGGTTTAAGGGTAGAAAATAAAAACCTGCCATATAGATTATTTGTCTACACAGCATTAAATATGGCATTTCAAAAATAAATTTTATCACAGAAATTTAGCATCCATGTCCTCCTCTTAATCTGAGATACTGCTATGATGCTTGTGATTTAATCCAGCATGTAAATTATCAATACGATTTATTTATATCGCGCCGATTCACAACACATCATCTCAACAATGGCTGCTGGCCAATAGAGGGCGCTAGTTTGCTGCCCCACCCACCCAATGACCTCGATTAAGACATAAAAAATTTATTGGAATTAAATTATAAAATTAAAATATGTTTTATATATATTAGATTTGCAAGATAAGTATTTAATCTTTAATGACAAGTAAAGCTGTTTTCTTTTTTTGTCTTATCGGTGATGTATTTCTGCTATAGGGCGCAAAAATCTGACTGATATTTCTCTCCAGGATGGAGTCACAGCCAAAAGGAACAGACCAGATGAAGCTACTATGAGAAAAAGCAGAGAGAGCAGAACAGTAGCGACTGCAGAGTGGGAGAATAGAGATAGAAGGAAGCAGAATGATGAAAAGGGGTCCCTATGTCCTCCAGCAGCCTAAGCATATAGCAGCATAACTATAGAGATAGCTCAGAATAACCTGATAAGCTTTATCAAAATGTAAAGTTTTAAGCCTAGCCTTAAAAGTAGACAGGGTGTCTGCCTCATGGACTAAAACTGGTAGTTGGTTCCGCAGGAGAGGAGCCTGATAACTAAAAGATCTGCCTCCCATTCTACTTTTAGAAATTCTAGGAACCACTAGTACTCATCATCATATAAAGTTGATTGTCATTATCAGTCAACTAATATTTAATTGACAGGCAGCCATTTCCTTAACACTAGATGTCCTGGAGAATTTCAGTTTTCCTGCAGCCCCCCTCCCCTCTTCAAGTTTGTATATTCACTCTGCCTTGCTAACTGATATGACCAGCCCTTCTACATGAGACTGGATAAAGGCTGAAACAAACTGGCATCAGAACCAGAGCATGCTCCAAACACTTTTCATTACCTGCCACTGCAACATCAGACCTTTTTGCAGGAATATCTCGATAAGTCATATCTAAATCTTTTATTTAGGCAAACCTATTGAACAACCAGATATCATACGGGTCCTAGTTCCTGAGCTGAGAACAGGTCATAACCATGCTTTTCCAACAAGGCAAGGCAGAGCCTATTTATATTGTCCATTCAGCAACAGACTAATTTATATTGCAAAGCAGACTATATGAAAGA